GCGCAAATGGATTGATGATGGCTAATTTCAAAGTCTTTTTCAAAGGATGGCCTAATAAGGGAAGATGCTAAGCATCCAGCTGTAGTAAAAAAAGCCTTCTGGAAAATGCTGTTATGCTATATAAAAAGGATGTTTTTATAAATGTAACGAAGATCAATATCCTGCCCCGCTCTTCATGATCAAGTTGTATGTGCCTTGTCTCAAACTTAGGTAGGTATAAACATTTGATTACTCCCTTTTTTTTTAATACATTCTGTTATGTTTTAAATTAACATCTAAATAGCTTTCGCTCTTCAGGTCACACCTGCTGTGACCAGTTCACTGTGGAGATATTTACATTCAGTTGATCGCATGGTTCTTTGCACTGTGAGATCTCAGATGAATTACTTAACCTGATCTGTAAAATGAGGATACTAATGAGTAATTTAAAAGAGAAAGTGAGGCACATTTTAATAAAGCTTGTGACATGCTTTGAGATCTTCAGCTAGCAGTGTAGCATACTGCACAGTGTATTTAAGTACAGAGTAGCCACTCTAATGTTTTTGAGTCAGTCATTACAGATATTTCCTAGCTAACTTTGCCACCCATACATTCTACCTCAGCTGCTCTTCCCACAGTCCCAGCGATGCCATTTGCATTCCATCACTCTTACTGCTTCTGCAAGGTGTGGTATCAAAAATTCTGGTGGTCTGTGTTTGTGCTCAGAATAGTCCACTGCCAGCTTAGCAGCACTTCAGAGGTACTGATAAATAAGCACAGTGGGGAAAATGTGATATAGGAAATCTATGAGTAGATCAGCCTTGTCACCCTTACGCTGTGCTTTCACCATTATCTTGGACAGTAAACAGCAGAGTCCTTGAAGCCCTGGTAGGTCACACTCTAAGCTACTGTCACATCTCTGTAATAAGCTGTATGCAAGCGTTTTCCTAAGTACACTCTTGCTAGCTAACTATTTCATAATCCCATCACAGGTTTTAGTCTGGTCAGATTATCAAGTTGACTAATTGTTTAGCGACAGTGACATTTTGAAATTGTTCTTTGTTATAGAGGAGAATCAATCTGCTTAGGGATTTTTGTATGTATATCCAACTATTTTGGTCAGTTAATAAATATGTATTGACTGTCAATCCTGCAAAACTCATCTCCAACTTGAAAGTCAGGTTGTGTACTATTTCTTTTTGTAATTGTAATTTGGTAATAATTTTCTGATACCTCAATTTTGCTTTGTGTTGTACCTATGTATGCCTATTATGGTAAATCTGCTTCCTATGGCTGTGCTGAAGTGTTACTGAGAATATAACTTGACCAGCACAATGCTTATCTCTATCATTGTAATGGTCATTGTCTGAGAACAGAGTATATGTTTGATTTTCAGAGTCTAGGATGACTTTTCAGTGTTTGTAATGAAGGAAGAAAGCATTTTTAGACAGAGTGTGACTGTGATATTAATGGGTGTAAAGGGCTGAGGGGGAGCAATGAGTTTTGCAGTCCCTTATTTAAAAAAAACCAAAACAACAAAAAACAACAATAACAACAAAAAAAAAACCCAAAACTTTTAAAATTTCTGTTTCATGTGACATTTGCTAAACACAAAAAAGAAATCTGAAATGGATCTTTGACTGATTCTTGCTAAAGCTTATTTATCACAGTAGGAATGAGATATGGTACCTGGTACTTTCAAAAGCAGTATCTGACCAAGGCTTTTATGACAAAACATAGTAAGTGTAATGATTTGTATAGAAGTTGGGAGCTTAGATTAATTGTATCACTTATATATAGCAGTTTTTGTGGGCAAAGTAGCAGTTCTGTTATTGCAGCTGTATATTTGAATCCCTAGATGCTACATTACCTGAGAATGATCTCAGGTGTTCTGTCCAAGCATCCTATGGTACTGATGTCCCAGAAGTACTGCATCAAAGATTATGCATGTGATTACCTGTTTTGCACTTGTTTTCTCCATCTGTATGATAACGATCCTAATGCAAACCAGGAAAGGATTCCTGACCTCTTTTTTTTTTCAGATTCAGTAGAACAGTTTTAGTGTCAGGCCTCTGAGGGTAATAGTAGGCCTCAATGACCTGACCATGAAAAGATGGAAAAGGTGATGAGTGACTGGCTATTTGCAAATCAAAAGCATGCTTCCTTTATTTCAGTGTATAATGGTAAATTTTCACAAATTGTGCTTTGATTATATGCTTGATATACTTCACTTTTGGGGTCTTTGAACACATATTCGAAGGATTGAGCTCTCTTATATTTACTAGATAAATAACTACTATTTGAGTTAGTGATACATGCTACTATAAGAAAGGGAAATTGGTTTGTATAGTTAAATTATATTTACTGCTATATGTTTACATCACAAAAGCACGATGATAAATAGAGTAAGTGCTTGTGGTTGTCTTCACAGTGTAGAGATAGTACAAGTATAAACGTTACACAAGCCAAGTAGTCACTTCTTACTCTGTTGTGAATATGGTTGCTAACTCAATCTATAGTCTTGGCTAAATACAGGTGTAAAGAAATCATATGTTGTGACTCGGATAAAGGTTAAAATGGCAATTTGAATGGCACAGTGTGATAGTTCTAAAAGCACCTGAATGTAAATAGTATTGTCATCTTTTTTTCTTTTTAAACTTTATTCCTTATTTTTAATTCTCACCTTTTTGATGCAAGAGAAATAGGAGCACATGTGCTTTGCTCTACTAGGATTAAGTTGGTGAACTAGCAGGATGCAGTGAGTACAGTATTTTACCCAGCATACTGCCAATGAAATCATTCAGGCATTTTTCAGACTGTCAACTGTGTGTGCACAAACCTTGAAAATGCCTCCTCTGCAATATAAATGACTTGTCACATCATATCCTGATTTATTAGGTTTTAAAATTGTTTCAGTGTTACTGCTGTAATTAGCTCAACTGCAAATTGTTCGACGTAAAGTACTTTGATGTCATTATGTTTTAACCAGCTTTAGAAAACTGGTAAGATTAAAATGAACAAAATTACCTTTTGCTATAAACAACTTCAATCTTTTTCTTCAGACGTCAGATGAGAGGAGCTGTAAGCATTCTTCTGAAAATATTCTCATACCTAGAAGTTAAAAATAGAACTTACTCTACTTCAGTCACTGTTACAGGAATTGGAGAAGGAATTAATTAACCTGTGTTAAGCAGGGAGTCATATTTAAGTGATTAGGCAACTCTCTTCTAGTCACAGAACTTTAAGATATCAGAAAGTTGTATGCAACTTCTATAGAAGGAAAAATGTATAGCCGTATTTTTATCTTTCTAGTCTTTGGAAATTAGGTGAGATAATTAGAAATTACAGGAAAACGTGTGGCATTCCAGTGAGAATAATGGCTTCTTCAGTGGTTTGCCTAAGGGATTTAGATACCAAAATAGAACAGCACTCAAAGTAGAAAGAAGGTTGATTTGATATTCCTTTAGGGAACTGTCCTGAAGAATACGTAACAATCTGCTTCAGACAAGAAAATGTGAACCCAAAGACATTTTCTAACTACTGCATTCTTCCAAGCATTCACATATAATTGCATGACTGCCTGTGACAATCATGTTCAATTGTTAAAGGAAATAATTCTGGCTGCATTTTAGAGCAGATGGGCAAAAAGGAGGTGTGTATTGAGGCCAGAATAAACTGGCTTTCTTAGAAGAGGTCAGCAGATTACAATAATTTCCATTGGGTAAAGCAGACCATTAGGCATTTATAACTATCCCTTGTACAGTTTTAATCTGGTCTTGTAGAATATTTAACTGACTCATGCAAGTTGTATTCAAGTTGATAGCAATTGTATTGGGTATGAGATTTTGCTGCTTTGAAGACATGGTTTAGTGTTTCTAGTATAGACAATTTATCGTTCAAAGAAAGCACCATTTTAGAAAGTGAGATTTGAAAATGAAGGACAGTGGAATTCTTCCATATCATTTACTTTGCAATTTGTATAATTAGTCACACTTGAGACTTTCATATGCAGAATGTAAGTAATGTTTAGCAGCTGTTCTGGAAAGAGAATTTACTTGAATTTTGAGCAGTTTCCTGAGAAATTGGTGTATTATTGTTCCTTATAAATGCTTACTGAGAGAGAGAGATATATATATATATAAAATACTAATACTGTATTATTTTTTTGTAGTTGAGAAAATATTGTTCAATTTCCAGTCTGTAGTGCAAGAAGCTTTATTGTATCCTGAAAGTTCCTTTGAAACCTATGCCATGAATGAATTTTAGAATTTAGAACAAAAAATATTAGGTAAAAAAACCATTGTGTCATATACTTCCTGCATCCATTTGCAGTCATATTTTTAAAAATTAAGGATATTTTATTTTACAAATATTTCTATTAGAAATATGGGTGATAAGTGTGTTTTAGTAGCTTCCAACCAACAATTTCTTTTTTCAGTTCCATAAATTATAGTACCTAGTATTACCTCATAGAGTGATAGGGCATTCAGATATAACTTGTATTGCAAATACTGAAAGGAATACTGTCAAATGGAGTGCATTCTTGCAGAGTCCATCAAAGAGGCAGCACTGAGATTGTCCATCTTTTACCATTGTAATTCTGCTTAAGATCTGTGTGCTTTCTAGTCTGCTTTAAGTAACTGCTGTAATTTATATAAATGTTTTCCTCCACTGAGATTGATTTTAATATTCCTTGCCATTAAACACTTAAGGAATTACATAAATTATCAAAAAGATAGCAGACGAAAGTGGTTGATTATTAGAAACCTGAGAAATGAAAGCAGACTAGAGCCCTACAGGTAGATCTGTTTTAACAGCCTTCTCTTCTTTTGTTAATCATAAGAAGTGCTTAAACTCTATTCTATTGGTGTTTACATGCATTAAATTTAGGTATGACTGTATGAAATATGAGAAATCATGTTCAATTCAATTCTGTTTGTCTAGCAGATGAGCATCACTGTGTATTAAGATATACTTTTTTTCCCCCATATATTAATGATTTATTTTTCTTTTTTTTAAAGGGTTTTTGAATGATTCAGTTACTAAGTGCATTGTGGCCTTACGGTTGACTGTGATAGTGAAAGTCAGTACCTGCATGCCTGCGGGAAGCCATTCAGATAAATTCCAGTGTTCAGGGAAAGGAAAATGTATCACGAAACCAGATGAGGTAAGGTGAACTTATCAAGATCTTTGTATCATTTGGAAATTTTCTGCCAAAGTAAATGCAAAGGAAATCGTTCTTGGTCCTCTGAGTATGTGCTACCTTGCTGTGTGCAATGGGCTTCAAAAACCATAGAAGTTACTAAATAATAACAGTGTATTTATGAAATAATTAGATAATGTTTGGAAATCTTCCTGTGCTCTTTCCTTGAAATACCACTATATTGAGAAAGTAGAATGACAACGGCAATTTACTGACCACTGTGATATTTTTGTGCCCTCTACTAACAAAAAAAATCATATATGTTAACTTTCCATGCCGTATACTGCTTTGACAAAACCAGACTGGCATTCTATGATCAAGAGCCTGTATTCTCTGCTGCCTTCTATACATGTTGATTTTAATAAAGTAATATGCAGCACAAAGATGTGCAGCTAATATTTGGTTTTAATAACATTCATTTGGGAGATAAAAGCAATAGTAACTGTTGAGTAAATATTAACAGCTGCGAGCCTGCTGTGAACACAGAAAATCTGGCATATTTAGGGAATTCACTAATAGTTCATCTGCTACCATTTTGTGATTTAAATTCTCAATAAGCATGTTTGATAGAAAAATGCAGCTTTGACTTGTAACAACAATAATTAAGTTGCTGCAGTAACCTATCTGTGTGTGGCAATGCTAACATCTGGAACAACTTAACATCTTTTCTTTGAAAATTAAATTTTAAAATGCTTAAGGTAATGTGAACACAATGACTGTTATCCAAATAACTTGTTCATGCAGTATGCTATTTTATGGTCCAGCTTAGTTTTTCTCTTTTCCTGTATCTGTCATTTTTCTAGAAATTCAGCATTTTCAATTTGATTTATGTAAATAATATGTTCAGATGTTTTATATATAGTGGCATATGAAAACATCTTCCCTTTTTCAATTTTTTGTCATGTTGAGAGTTAAAGGCTTTGATAAACAGTCATATGTTCTGTTTTTCATGTTGTTAGTCCATTTTTATGTCCTTAATTTCTTCATTTTACTGCAAGCTATATATCACAAAGAGAACATACATTAATTCCTGTATCTATGCAGAAGCATTAATATATTTTTATTAAGGAAAATGCATAGGTTGCTTTTAACAATCAGCCGTGTTTCAAAAATCTCTGATACGTGGAATTTTAATGATCTTTAAAAAGAAAGGCAAATTGGCTTCATGGCAGCAAAGGGGAACTTGAGAAAAGGAAACTCAGTATGTGTACATCCACACCTTTAATCCTGACACTGAAAATTTCATCCAGCTTTTAGTGATGAATTAACCTCCCTCTTGTGCATACAGTGTTTTTCCTTCTGTGGAAAATGAATAGGAGAATTTAAAATTACTCCTATCTTTTCACAGTTTTGAGGAGCAGGAACAGCACAGTGTGTTAAGGTAGTGTTTATAACAGAATGTGCATCAGACATCCCTGTAGCTGAAGCTATGGGACATAGCAATCATGCTGAAGTCCATTTCTAGAGAGGTATCTACCAGTTCATAGTAGTCAAAGAACTGGAATTAGCAGGATTCTATCTCTTTAATAACATTTTAACTTAGAAACATATATTTTTGCTGTCAGAAACTGTTACCTTGAACAGACGAGGAAGTTTCCCAGTGATCCTCTGCAGTCTCTTCAGACCTATGCCAAGTAGTGCTCTGAGAAGGGGCAACTCAGTAAAACCTCACTGCTTCCAAATGTTGTTTATTTATGACCAGACTCCTACTCCAAGGATAATAAAAATGTTATTTTGTCTATTCAGCCGTAGTGATTTTTCAAATCTGACAGTTTTCCTTACCCATTAGTGTATTAGTTGCATAATAGAATTTCAGCTGGGAAACTGAATCAGGCCCAGCGTGAGCAACTTAGTTAAAAATAGAAGGTGTATATTTCATTAAACAGAATGTTTTTGCCATTGTTTAAGTTGTCTTAGGGGAGATGTATCATACAATGTCTTTATGGTTTCCCTAATGATGAAGCAAACAACTGCCAAAATTATATGCCTGCCATGTACCAACCAACTGCTGAGTTGTTTCCCTCAAGACCTTCTACATTTCTTTATCCAGAACAGGAACTTTAATATTCTTTAGGTTTGCAACATGCCCTTTGTGATTTGCTGTTTGTTTTTATCCATAATTCATTCAGTTTGCACATTCCAGTCTTGCAGGATGCAAAGCAACTTCTTAGAGGAATTCATAAAAGGCCTAATGTGGTGAATATGCTCAGAGCTGTGCTGGCTGCAGTCATTTTGCTGCCAGTGCTGTGAAGATTGATTGCCTTTGTTTTTTCATGTACTTCATAGTTTTATACCAAATTTAGTAGTAACACATTTGCATAATGGAAACTTTAAATGTAATTAACAATCTGCAGTAATATAAGTGCAGTGATATACTGTCATCTGTGGGGTGCTTAAAACTATAAACAAATGAATTTTGGTCTTACCTGGAAGTCTTGGCTGGTTTTTAGTTATTTCTTGCTTGTTAATAAGTAGCTTACCTTCTACTGAGCTGGGTGTTTTTTATAGAATGTGGACATAAAATTGTAAGCTCATAATGACAGTTTCTTTTTCAATTGTTGTTGGCACTGAGCATAAAATTCACAACTTTGAACAAAGTTCTTTGAAGTGAAGTGATGCTGTGTTAAAGTGATGCCTTTTCCTTCCTTTGTCTGAGCTTAGTACCTCTGTTTTGCTGTTGTGTTTGCCATTCTTCCACAACGGAAAAGTGAATGTTCAGAAACATAATACTGGTTTTGGTATTATCACCAAATAAATACCAAAGTGACATTTATTGACTCTCACCAGAATAAGTTGTCCTCAGACAAATTGGCTATGAATTGAAGAGAGCAATTATAATAGATCCAGAGAGAAGTTGTGATTCTGTGTAGGATTTTAAAGTGAGCTATAGCCATCCATTAGATTTGAGAGCTACAGTTCTGGTTCTATAGAGACATAATGATTTCTTTCACAGATTGCTCTGTTCTTGCATAAAGTGTAGAAGAACTGACTGTGTAAATATGGAGTTTTATTGCTAGTATTAGAATCACTTATTTTTATGGAAAAAAAAACCACCTGCCTGCACTGAGAAATAATGAATCAAACTGAATAATGATCATTTCCATGTCTTCTATGGGTTATAAGTTTACAAGAGTAGATCCACTTGATTTTATTTGTCTGTATTAACACCAGCTCCCTGTATGCCTAACTGCATGTCTTCTTGGTTATGGACTTCGTTTCCTAAGTACAATATACTCCTAAACACAAAATAAGTGTTTTGCTCAAATGACTCACTGTAAGGATTGCCATGAATGCTCAAAGTCTTTTTTGTCAAGAGAAAGCAGACCCAAAGCATTATTTTGGTAGGGATAGTTCCATAATTCAGACCAGACCATCTTTTTTTCTTTAGGTTAAAAAGTAAAATTATTTTATGCCTGGTGAGTTTGTAATCAGTGACAAAAAATGAAAACAGTGCATCAACCGGAAATTTCCTTTAATGATAAAAAAAACCCCATAAGATAATAATAAGATTTTTCAGAGAAATATGTAAACTTCTTAAAACTGAAGTTGAAAATCCGTGTGTAATTTAATTCTTCTCTACTTCTCTGTTTGATTACTTTGACATAATATTGATGGTAAGGAGTGGCACACAGTGTTCATGGTATGGGCTATGCAATTTATTAATGCCTTTGTCTATGAATCTATATTGGGATTGTATTTATTGTACATAGGAGTTATATAGTTTTTACCAATGGATGCCCAGTGTTACTATTATAGCACATGGGCATTATCTATACCAACACTGAAACCATGGCACTTTTGAAATTATTTCTATGTACTCTGTCAGTAGAGAAGCCACTGCACTGGTTTCCAAATGCTTCAAAAGAGAGGGAGGAAAAGGAAAAGAAAGCAGGACTTAGCATGCATGGTGTTATGTAGCACAATTTTGTCTGCTGTGATATGTTGTAAATTTTTGTATTTAAAATATGAGGAACTGTTCTGGAAATACAGCCCAGTATCCTGTTCTGGAATAACAGCAAAACTGCCGTGATGAGTGATGCAGTTTTTCAGCTGTTTGCCTGTTTTTTCCTTCTTATTGAACTACATCCTAGTCTGGAAACATCTCATTGCTGGTGTGAAATGTATGCAGAGCAGTTCTGTGAGCAGGCTTGGGCCATATATCCAGCAGATACTTCTGTCACTCCTGATAAATAACATGCACATTGTTGAGTTTTGGAGATGATATTTCCTTGGATATAAGGAAAATGTTTTTAGCTTTTTTTACAGTAAGGGTGTTGAGGCACTGGCACAGGTTGCCCAGAGAGGTGGTGAAAGCCCCATCCCTGGCGATATTCAAGGCCAGGCTGCACCAGGCTCTGAGCACCTGATGGAGCTGCAGGTGTTCCTGTTCACTGCAGGGAGTAGGACTAGATGGCCTGTAAGAGCCTCTTCCAAATCAAATGATCCTATGATTCTATTATAACATTAATTGTTATTTAGACTCTATCAATGCAGTATTTTTAAGGAAAAATGTACTGCATTTTATTGTCTATCATCTCTTTATTTGTATGAAGTTCATTGTCTTTTTTTTTTTTTTTCTTAATACACAGCTGTTTATTTGCATGAAGCAAACAGAAGTAAAAATAGAAAATAAAATACTGACCTGGCCTTTTTGTTTCTGGTTCCATGAATGTTTTGTGCTTTGCTTTGCAACATCTGTGCCTGGGACAGCTGCGTGCATCGAGCCCAATGATGGGGCTGGGAAATGCAGCAGTGAGTGCGGCTGCCACCTAGTGCTTAATGAACAGAGGAAGGGGGCATTTGATTTAGATGGATATATCAGATGAGAGCTTTCCTTGCTTTCATCCTATAATGCATCCTTGGCAATCTTAGCAATTTAAGTACTTTTAAGATTATGTTTTATTACTTAAAAAAATACTGAATACTACACTGTACCTGTTAGTACTTTAACAGGTGTAATGCTCTTAATCTTTTATTAAGCAGCAAAAGCAGCAAGTTTTGGAAAAGATGCTAAATACATTCAGAAGAAGACGTGTTTTAGCAGAACCAGAGTGGCTTGTGTCTCCTGAAGTGAGCCCCAGCACTGCTCATCCCATAGGGGGTATTCCTTTGTAGCAGGGTTTTGTTGTGGTAAATCTATACATTACAAATCTTGGTAATCATACTGGTATAAAAATATAATTTCTGGAATGGAAGAAAAAAAATTATACTGATTTAGGCATTATGGATCTGATCCATGTCTAGGTGGAGATTCCCTGGCTTGATTAAAAATGTGACCTGAAGAACTGGTGCAGGTTTAGTATTTCAAATGGTAACTTTATGCATTTGATGTATTTATGTCAGCTACTTGTGTTTGAATGGAACAGCAGCAGAAACATTCTTGTTCATAGAGTAGTCAATGAAAATATAACCTTTGAAAATTCATTGTGGAGTACAAATTCTGCTTTTTTTTAGGCAACATTTTTCTGTGAGTGCGAGGATGAATACTGGGGCCCCCTGTGTGAGGAATTTGATGCTTGTCAAAGCCAGCCCTGCCAGAACAACGCAACCTGCACCGACCTAGCACAGAAACACAACGGGAACAATTTCACCTGCAGCTGCCTGCCTGGTGGGTATCGTATTGTGCTCTGAATAATGCATTTTTGTTTTAACATTCGGAGCATAGCTTTTGCAGAGCAGTAAACTGTGCATCTTCAGACAGTAGGAAAGAGGGAAAATAAAACAACAACATAAGGTCAGCTTTAAAGGGCTGGAAAATTCTTCAGCTGTGAATATTGGCACAAGAGGCGCAGCACCATACAGTCAAAACAAAACCATTGTGGGGGAATTATTCAAATAGAATCATAGAATCATGAAATCACTTGGGTTGGAGGATACCAGCCCCCAGCTGGCTGCCCCCCACTGGATGAGGCTTCCCAGGGCCCCTACAGCCTGGCCATGAGTACCTCCAGGGATGGGGCTCCACAGCTTCTCAATCTGTTCCAGTGCCTCACCACTCTGAATATTTTTTTTCCTAACATCTAACCTAAATCTCCCTCCTGCTTAAATGTTCTCTTCAAGTACTGGAAGGCCACAATGAAGTCTGCCTGGAGCCTTCTGTTCTCCAAGCTAAACAAGCCCAACTACCTCCACCTACCTTCATAAGAGAGGTGCTCCAGCCCCCTGAACATCTTTGTGGTCCTCCTCTGGACTCAATCCAACAGCTCTGCATTCTTTTTGTACTGGAGGACCTAATAGAACTAATAGAACTTTACCTAATGAGATGACCAAAATTATTTAGTTTGCTGTCTAAAATCAACTTTTTTTAAAATTTTTTCCCCCAGTATAGATTTTAAAGCATACAACATATCTAACTTTTCCTTCACTGTCACTAGTAAATTCTTTTCTTCACTCACAGGGTGACATGGAAAAGCCCTCAACACAACTGTTGAATTGTTTCTCATAATTAACTTAAACTTTGAAAACTTTTAAAAAATGCATAAACTAAATTTAGTAATTTGTAGATTTGATTAATCATCAAATGTCTGAGTTCTCTGAAGTTATTTCAAGAACATTTGCCGTTAAAATTTGGTCAAATGAGTATAGACATTTTAATTGAAATTAAAATTAAACTGAATATGACAGTCATAGTTAAAAGCTGGAATGTAAATTAATGTCACATGCTGATGGAAGAACCTTACAAAGTGACTGTTACAGGAAACAGTGCTATCTTAAATCTTACATTTCTAAGACAAGCTCAGTTATAATAGCACAATTACTTTATTTTTAACTAACATAAGAAAGTTGGTAAAGTAACAATAAAACTACTAGACTTAAATAAATATCAGGTAATTTATTTTGTTTCCTACATATATTTTATTGTACATCTTTATTTTTATAGAAAAAGTGAGCAATTTACTGGCTGATAAGTTACGAGATCACTTACTGGACAGTTGACATTTACAGGGATCTTATCTGGAAAAAAAAACAGAAATGGAAGGTACTTTTGGAGTGGGTCCTCAGCCTTGCAATATAGAAATTTCTTAAAATGCAGATGGAGAAATGGATATTTTGGTCAGGCTTCCAATGGTTGTCTCCAAATTGTCATCTAAATAAACATTTTAAAACTGGGTGTGTGGATTAAAATTATATAAAGGATACAACTAACAACACTTCATTTTTATCTCAGGTGGGATTTTGGAGTGGGCTTTCTTATATTCCTTTGATTTGTGAATATTCTTATTTGCTACCTTTATGCACAGACTAGAATCCTTCAGGCTGGCCAAAAAACATGTCTGAGCAGGAGTAGGTGAATACAAGAGATGCTTTCATGTGGCAGCTACGTGCCATTCTCTGAAGTGCTTTGTTAACTTAGCAGTTCAGATAATCAGCCATGGCAATTCATTAAGGACCCTTCATTTCCTCCAAAGGACATGATCTTTCCTGTTAAAGTGCTTTATGCCTCTCAGATTTTCTCTTTTTCTCTCTTTGCTTAAGACTCATTGTAGTGAACGGGCAGCAGAAAAATGATTTATATTTGAATTTTTACATGGACATGGATTTATACTGCTCTAAAAATTAGATATGAAGTTGTTATGCACATATAATCTATTCTGTTTTTATAAATATGTGAATGGATCAACTGTTACTTCAACAACGTATGTAAACATAGTTGAATAATAATTTAAATTCAAGAGGGAAAAGATCAGAGTAAAACAAGCTTGAAATATTTAAACAGTCCATGCAATTAATGTCACATTGACTATGACTGATTCAGAATTCTCTGGGATTTTGACAAGCAGTTTTTAATTAGAAAAAAATAATTAACATGCAGAATATGTTCATTTTATGTATTTATTGAGATAACTGTCTTGGAAATTGTTCTGCATTATGTACTCCTGGCTAAATTCCTCTTTTTACATTTCCTACCTTAGGAGAAATGGAATTGGCCTCTTCTCCTATGTAACTGGTGATAGGAATAGAGAGAATGGCCTCAAGTAGCACCAGGGGAGGTTTGGGTTGGATATCAGGAAAAATTTCTTCTCTGAAGGAGGGGTCAGGCACTGGAATGGGCTGCCCAGGGAAATGATGGAATCACTGTCCCTGGAGATGTCCAAGAGACGTCTAGATGTTGTGCTGAGGGACATGGGTTAGTGGGGAAATAATGGTGATAGGTGGACACTGGACCAGCTGATCTTAGAGGTCTTTTTCAACCTTGGTGATTCTTTGATTCTAAATCCAGGCATAATCCTAGGAAGTCTACCTGCAGTTCATAAAATCAGAGTTTTTACTAGATCCTTCTGATCTTCATATAAAATATTTTAAAAATACTTCAAAATTCTTCGCTTTGGTTGCCTAAAAAAAGCTTTAGGAGGAATATTGATGAGAATTCTGATGTGCCTACCCGAAAGCCCAAGAACGTTTCCACTAGGAAAACTTAATGTTTTGATGTTTTACGGCTGAGCTTCGTACAGTAACATAAATATGCTCCCACTTAGCTACAAGGCTCCAAAGATGATTATTGCTTCCGTTATATTTAAGTCTGCAATATTTCCTGCTTCTATTGTGAAGTTACAAATTATAGTGCCTTGATGCAGCAAGTGTTATTTTATTTCTGTAACGGTGTAAAAACCCAAGTTTATTGCTGTTGTTGTTATGATCCCAGATACCTGCATCAAGTGCTTGCTTTATTTTTTACCATTTGGCCTCTCCTCTTTTCAAAGGCTTCCCATGAATTAAAGAAGTAGTCACTGTCAGGGACAAGTATTTGAATTACTTCTCTGAGAAAGTGTTAACACAGCTAAAGAAAGAACATTGCGTTGATACTGTGAGGTGCATTGTAGAAAGGAAACAGTGACTAAGAACTCAACAGTTGTTTGAACAAAGTATATTTCTGTTACATGTTTTCTTTGACATCTTTATTTCTTTAAAGTCTTTTACTTCTTTCCATTTAAAATGTATTTCTCTAAAATTTAAGTTTTTGCTTTTTTTACTACATAACTATTTCTTCTCCTTGTCTCTGCAAAAGATGTTAGCTCCTACTGGAAAAAAAAAGAAAGTCTAAATACTTCCTTCTACAAAATCCCTCCCATTTATCATGGTAGAACACAAAGCTTGTAGTCGATGGAATTAAGCTATTTAGCTTCTATATATAAAGACTTTCCTTCTGAATAATAGCATGATTAAGTTTCTCTGTAGATGCTTGAAAAGACAAGTATAGTTAACTCCATTTATTACATTCTGGATCTTGCAAGATTTGCTTTATGACCTCAAATCATTATATTTAAGTTATAATTTATTTATTTATTTTTTTTTAAATAACAAATGTAAACTATTATTCAGATGGCTTAACTAATATTGAACTGTGTTCCTACAGGTAAAAAAAAAAAATTGCATATGGAAAATCATTAAAGGCAGAGGAAATAAGAATTTAATTGTTGTAATAAGAGTTTAAATATTGCCTCCATTTGCAAATTTCAGAGCCATACACATGTGAATGGTATAATTTCCCAGATTTTGTTAGACAGAAATGTTGTGAAGATCTATAACAGCACAAAATGAATAGATGTAATGATTCTTACAGAGTATCTGACCAGCAAGGTGTTTTGTTTTTTTTTTCTTATGGTGGTTGCTTAGCTCTTCTAACTTCATAGCTCTTGCTAGGAAATTCCCAAATCGTATTCTCTTGCAGATGGACAAAACATGCCATACAGATCATATTAAGATGGAGCATATTTATTTTCATAAAACTGACAAAATATTATCTCTGATGAATTTTGTCTCAAGCTATAGTAACGTTCTCAGGAAGTCAGCAAGCTTTAGAGGAACACAATCATTCGCGCTTTTCTGTGCCAACATTCCTTTGGGTACACACTGAATTTCAGGGCAATTTTTAGCTCCAAAGCAGTTTGATGACTGAAAAAATGCTTAAATGAGTTAAACACATTCAGTTCTGTATTGTAATTCATAAAAATAATCGGCTGAATGTCAGAACTTGAAAATATGAAACCTATAGATGAAACAAATCAGTTGATGTAGTCTTACATAGTATTTCTTTTATTGTTATAAATGTTATGTTAATTTAAGACCAATTAGAGTTACAGAAAATTGCTGGCTATGAAAAGTATGGCTTAGGTCTGTCCGTGTGCCTTCATCCAGTCCAGAGGAGCTGCCTCACAAGAGCACAGTTCTGGTTTTAGACCTCTTTATTCCTCTCAAGTTTATCTGACTTACAGCTGACAATCTAGATATAACAGAGTTTCTCCAAGTATCGCACTGCAGAAAATAGCATCAGAATTTAGATCTCTGTAGCATACAAAAGCAGTAGACAAAGAGAAATGCCTTAGACATCCTTCTTTGTAGTACTACACTAGAAACTCAAAGCGTAACAATCTATTTTGATATCGACTTTATGGAGACATCGATTGATTTCAAAAGATGTAACTATTAGCCTGTCTGAAAAATTTCTAAAATGTTGACTTTGATTGCATGAAAACAAATTATTTAACCAAAACATGAATTTTCTTTTTACTTTTTTTTTCTTTTTCCTTCTTTGTCCCCCACATAAGTGAAATTCTATTCCAAGCACGTCCTATGTCTCACCTTAGATCTTTCTCTTAGGCACCTGCCCTGAGCTGTGTATTAACAGCATCAGCTTACTGACCCTTAACACCAGCTATGGTGCTATTACAGAGGATGCTTACAATTTTATTTAGGGTTCCTTTTAAAAAACAAAATATCTATGTGTATTGTATGTACTTTCTTCTTCTGTCATGCATCCAAGATAGTTTTTTGGAAGTAAAGAAAAATAAGAATGAGGAATGTGTGGTATTCATTAAGGAATTTAAATTTGGAGTGTTTAATCTTTTAGCTTGCATTTTGTATCTTTGTTCTTTTTTTAATGGATGTGTTATAGACTTCAGACATATGGAACAAAGCGATCTATGGTCAAATAGTATGGTACACACAATCTGTAGCTTGTGAACTCAGGAGCTTATTTGGAAGAGATTGCAACTGTGCTGAGCAGTGCTTCACAGCTCCCACTTAAAATAAACACCCTCTCTGGAGCCCAGAAGTAGGAACAAATGGCAGTCATTCAGCATATGCACAGCTAATTCAGATGACAAGTCCTGTTTAAAGTCTTCCTGAAGATTTTTCACTTGAGATTCAAGATGCATTTGAAAACCATTCATAAAGGACTTCTTTTTTTTGATTATGTGAGTCCTTATGAGAACCCACCACCAACCTTCATTATGCTAGTACTGCCAGAATATTGCTGATGGTAAAATTCATTTGATATAATCTCTAGATTTCCACTACTTTTTTATTTCTCCTGTGAAGGATAAGTTCTTATTAAAAATCCCACTTTACAAGAAATTAGAAGACTGTTCTATTTCTATTACTTTGGTTAATTTTGTTCAAGAAAGCTATTAGGACTGTTTGAAGTTACCATTCAGTGATAAGATCTCATTTTCCTTATGCTTTCTAAATATTATGTGCTGTTTTGTAGGTTACACCGGAGAGCTGTGCCAGTCAGAGATTGATCACTGCATCCAGCAGCCATGCCAAAATGGAGGCACTTGTTCATCCAACATCCATGGATTCACCTGTCAGTGCCCAGAAGGTAAACAATGACTTATTTTCTGTCTTGTACAAATTGGTATTTCATGGAGTGTACTCAGTCTGAATTTTTAGTTATATGAAAATATATTCAAAATTGTACTTTACACCATATTTGTGAGCAGAAAAAAATCCAGATGAGATATCCTGTGTCATTAGTATTGTATAAAGTATGGTAAGAGCTTAGTGTTATAGAGTATATGCTGCATAGAACATTTTTATACATTTGCTGGCACCTCTACAGTAGAAATCAGGTTCCAGCACTGTGAGAAAGATAAGAGAATCTGAGGTTACTTAGAATTCATTCTGATTTTTGTGTTGTTCAGTAAATGCGTGAGAAAAGCTGCCTTGCATGCAGTATTTGCATATTTCTGCTTATGGGTCAGTTAGAGAAAAAACAGTACTTTATATCCCATAAAGTTTTAATTCATTCTCCTTTCTGTTAGGACTTGTTTTTTTCTCTGCATGATAAGCCTTCCAGTGATTCTCATTGGTAAACACCATGATTGAAACTGTGTGAAACGAGGACACTGATGGCAAAGTATGTGCTTTTGTAGCATTTTGCTGTGTGGAGTGGCAGATGCCTGAGTTGCTCATAAAAAAATTATCAGAAGTGAAAGCTCTCAATTATGAAATCTTCTATTAGTTATTTATAATTAGGATTAGAACTTTGAACTAATTATATTTCTGATCTCTATGGATGTTTTTATTCTGTCAGCATCTCGCGTTTGCTCCAAGGGTACAAGTCTTTGATAACTATTCTGGTAACGTATCCATGGTTAATAATGAAAGATTATTTGTAATTTCTTCAGAATGATTCCTTGCTTTTCTGGAGTATTATGCTTTAATGATTGACCCACTTAACAACTGTTTTGAAACACAGACCTTGACATTTTGACTGCAGAGCGTATCTTGTATTTGGAAGAATTTTGAAAACTGGCTTATGAGTAGTAGCAAAATTCAGAAAAGAAAATTTCAGTGTTAGACTTAATAATTCATTTTTATTTTTCTTAGGAAATCTGTTCATTGTCTTTCAAAATGCCATTACAAAATACATGGAAAAAATTATACTGGGACTTTTCGTTATTTTAAAGCTACCACATTGCTTGTGTGTGTGACATGGCTTCATTGCTTGTTCATGACGGCACTCAACTTCTCTTACTGCTCTGTGAGGCTCAGGCAATGATGACAGGATTGTATGCGTGTTTGGGTCCCAAGATGGACTGCCCTCTGCTGATGTGCCACTGCTTGATGTGGAGTGCTCTTGATTATGGCAGATTTTCTTCTGCAGGAGAACCAAATTACTTTTGCTTCTCTCTTAGTCTTATTTGTCTTTAGCTATCTCTGTGTTATGCTGCTTGGTTCTACAGTCTTGTTGGCTGCTTTGTGACTTCAGTCTTCTGCTTCCTTTCTTTCACTGATCCAGATCCATGTTTGATCAGTTTTCAGATCAGATCTCTTGTATGCTGTGCTTCATGTAGGTAAATCTTGGAATCTTAGCACTGTTGCTCCATTATCTTAGTAAATATGCTGAACACTGTTGCTGGTTTAAGTTAGGAGAACACTAGTAAGATTTTCTCAAGATTTTGCTTTTTTTTTTTGCTTTGTTTTGTTTTGTTGACACTTCTGTTCTTATTACATTTTACATACCTGTGCTTTCCTTTTCTTCTTGAAGTCTTGAGATTTTCTAGGATTTCTGGATTTTTCTTAAAGTTTTCTGACCCTTCAAGAGGAAAGAAAAATTACTTGGCAACTTCAAGAAGAAGGTGTCTGCTCATAGAACTCATTGTTATTCAAATGTGCTTTTTGTGTCACCTGTCTGAAACTTTGCATGAAAAGTTACCAGTTCTAATCTCCCAGCATTATTTCTGCATGGCTAAGGGCAGCCACATTAGAGAGCCAGGATGGAATTGGGCAAGGAGCTGTTACTCTGATAACTTATTTATATATGTCTAACATGTTTACATGGTATAAATGTTTTCCCTTTCAAAAAACATTGAGGCAACTCAAGCAAACATTTTACATAAATACACTTACAACTCTTGTAAAAATCAAATTTAACGTAGAAAAAAAACCTTTGGAGATGATGGAATGTTTCAGGAATCACTTTCTGGACTGGGCAGCATTATTCCCCAGAAGAAGAATAGTGTTGAACACTTCTGATTCTTGGTTCCTTGGAAATGAGCATTTTCTGAGAAAATCATTGTTAGGCTTGCCTGAGCACATGCCACCTTTTGTGAATAGTTGCTTTTCTAGATTGAGCCTGTGATAGAATCACAGAACGGCTTGGGCTGGCAGGGACCTTGAAGCCCACCCAGTTCCAACTCCCTCCCATGGACTGGTTGTCAACCACCAAATCAGGTTGCCCAGGGCCCTGTTGATTTTTCTAGATGGATTTTGATGCATTATTCTCTCATAGAGGCGTATTTTGAGAGCTTCTATCTTTGGAAAGATGTGATTATTTTTGTAAATAAAGCAAAGAGTAGGCAATTAAAAATTACAGGTGCGGTAATTTGCTATTTTTAGAGTCTTCAGATTTTCCATAAAAAAAAACCACACACACAGAGAAAACCAAAGCCATGACAGATTTCTAATTTAAGCAAGATCTCCAACTCTGCTTCTGTTCTCCTGCTGTGCGTAACAGCAATTGCTAGTTGAGAAGAGGCCTTTTTCTCTGTACTGCTAATTCAGCACAGTGGGGGAAAGGTAGCCAGAGAGCTTATACATGTTTAAGAACTAAAACTGGAGATTCTGTATGGATAGGCAGAAAAAGACAAGAGCAGGTGGGAAGTACTACAAAGGGAAAAGGGAAAAATGGCAGAAAATGGAATAAAATGGAAACAGTGAGGATTATTCTTGAGACTGTTCGTTTTTCTTTCATATGAGATCTGTGGCTCGTGAAAGAGGAATGTGAAAGCACACCAAAGGTGAGATATGAAGCACTGAAAAAGAAGCCCAAATCAAATATAAGCATTTCATGATTATTCTTTAGACAATGTTATTGTCTTAAGAGTCTTTTAATAAGGAAAAATTCTTTAGGCTTGAAGATTCCATTTTCTGTGTGAAGCATTAGAGATTTTAATGTGTCAAAAATGCTAGAAAATAAATGGTTATATGAAGTGGATGAGTCACCCTTTATTTAAGAGCAAATCAGAATTTATGCTCAAAGCTGTAATGAATGAGCTCGAACAATGCTAAAGACTGAAGAATTTGTTTAAAGGATGTTTGGGATGTCTTGCTTACTGGGTGTTCATCTTTGGTTATAGTACCTAACATAGTTAGCAAATATTGCCTTTAAATGTCCATACAAATAAATTTCCAAAAATTCTAACCACACCCCCAAGTAAACATCTGTCAACTTGGACATGGATGTTTGGAATTTATATTCAAAATGATTCTGTAAATACCCAAATCAATCTGTTAAATACCTGTTTTTATTTTCCTTCTTTTATTGTTATGTATAACATACCACTGCAATGGTAGTAATATTGTTAATTAGGGTACTGCTGATTATTTTATAAATTTAGTTATTTCAACACCTTTAAATCAGTGAGAAATTATATGAATTCCCAAGACACCCTGGAGTTCAATATACAAATAATAAATAGAAACATAGACATGAAAGTAAGGTTGGAAATAAGCAAAAACATTTACAATAAATACTTAATCAACAGGAAAACTTGTAGTCCTACTAGGGGTTCTTGGGGGTTTTCTACTTTCTTTATTTGGAGCACGCCAGCTCTGACCATAGTGGCAGAAAACTTCTAATTCAAATTAGCATATTTCTAAAATAATTTTCCAATAATAGACTTCATAACCATCCAGTAGAAAGAAGTAGATGGGAAACAATGTTATGATTGACATTTTAATGTCTAGATTACTTGAAATTAAAGGATGTTTAAAAAGTATAGAGCTCGACAGCTATAGAAGATACTAAGTTGTGATTCATATATGTTGATTTGCAATAGCAGCTAGAAAGTGCACATTTTTACCATGAAATATGGTGATGAGTAGAAAATAATTTATTTGTCTGTATAAAGAATTGTTTTAGTTTTATGTTCTTCACTTTTTCTGGACTTCACCATTCACATAGAAGATTTTTCTGGATCAGACCTTGGAAATATGATTCTAACTTCTTTAGGCTTGCATATAATTAACCTATTATATATTTTAATTCCAGGAAAATAGGATACACAGCTGTTGTGTGTGTAAGATTTCCCAAGGTTACTGATGATTACAGAATGTGGAGTTCTTCACATTACCATAAGAGAGTTTAATTTACCTGTAGAATATTGTGTTGTTAATTAAAAATTTTTATGGCTGTTCAGTTTCTGGTAATCTAATGCTTTTATCTGGCATTTTTCCAAATTGCCCCTATTTTTAGTAAATGTCTCTGTAATGCTTTAATGTGTTTGGCCTCTGTTTGTCTTTATCTGCTGAAACTTAGCTAGGTGAATTTCCATCAAAAACTTGCAAGTCCTTTTGAATTGTTTCTTGTTTTCTTATGATGAATATTTTTTTTTCCTTTACAGAATTTTGATGAAATTCCTTTAGATGTCTCACATTTCTTCATGGAACAAATTTCTTTGGGGGAAAGTAATACATTTCTGTCATATCTAAAGGTTTTTGTAGTCTCTAGGCCTAGTAATTCAAAAGTTTAAATTTTCACGTTTCTGTATTTCTTGGAATTGGGTTTAACATAACATTCTGGCAAGCTGGTTGTTCAGCAAGCTGTATAAAGAGCAGTTTTACAACTCTTCAGGAAGCATTTAAGTTGTTTGATTTATTACTCGACTCTTGCTTTCAGTAGCCAAGTAATTAAAATCCCCCCATGATGAGGAATTCGGCTTCTATCCAGAGCTTTTCTAACTCTGGAAACATTTTCTGATCTACTTTCTATTGTTGCCTTGGAGGTCTCCAGCAATATATAAAGAATATCACCTGGCTGCTAACTTTTATTCTCTTTGACATCTAACCAAACAATCTGTTTCATGCAAGCACAAATAGTACATTGTGTCTTTGAGCAGTATAATTGTTTTCTAATACTGCTTTTCCCTTTTGCCTTCTGTGTTATTTCTGCATTTTAGTCATGTCTCTGTTATACCAATGACCTACATGCAAGGTTGTGCTTGTGTCAGCTAGCTGCAGAACAATTCACGGGATAATTTTCTGCAGTTAAATGAAATCCTGTAATAATGCTTTATTCTGCTTTCAATCAATATATATCTGAACCTGATTTTTATTTACATAATTTCAACAGTTTTATTGATATGGACTCATATGTACTACCAGAAATGCCAAAATAACACATCTTTAATTTAGATGCATAACTACTGATGATTCTAGAGTTTTCAGACAGTAAACTCATACATAAGTTTTGTATTTCCAGAATGAACTAAGCATATTTCACAGTGCAAAGATAGCGCGAGGGCAACATGTTTCAGCATATTTCAAAATTCCCTGTGTTCTTGAAGAGCTCTGTCACTGAAAACATTAGCCATCTGCCAGTATGCTTCTCTTTGTAGGGAAGATTATTGCAAAGGTTGTAGAGAAGCAATGTGAGTATCATTTTGTGTCCTCAGATCTCCTTTATCTTTTAAAATCTAGTTTCAGAGTTACTGTAGAGATTTACCAGACTCACTGACTGATCTTTTCCTGGTAACAGTTAAAAGTCCTTGCAGATTCCTATAAATCCATCCAGGATTTTATGATAAAAGCACAGGCTTTTTGAATTTAATAGCAGACAATTGCTGGAATTAGAACTTTGGTTTTAGGGATTGCCATTCCATTCTCTTTCGGATGGTTATGCAGTTATTGCCTACGGGAAGGAACTTCTACTATAGGATTCCCCAGTATTCATTTTTAGACTTTCTCTTCAGCATCAGTGTGCAGGAGGTACTGATAAAACCCACAAACCAATCTGAATAACAGGACATCAGAATGGAGAGGGCAGAAGGGACTTGCCTATGTTCATTGCCTATGCCCCACAAGATCTGCTTTTCTTTCCTGATCTATTCTGAGATTAGGAGTTACTTACAATTAACTGTTAATAGTCAACTGGGCAGTTGTGGTCTTTTGATCATTTTCATAGTTATAATAATCTGTGTTTTATTAATTTTTGGAATAATTCTTTCTAGTACACCATACGGGTTAGTAATGTAGATTCATCTACTTTCTAATGCTTCTTCTCAGAAATTTCCTGACAACAGTTGAACAAAATTACTACCTAATTCACCCGAATGTGAATTGTGAATGATTAAAAAGCAGAGAAATTCAGAATGCTCTGAAATTAACACATCTGTTAAAATTAATTTAAAACTATTTCCTTATTGCTTGAAATGTGAAGTGTGTTTAGAACAAAAATATTTACACATCCATTAAAAGACAATGAGATGCTGTAAAGTATATATTGAAGGTCGCATTTGGACTCACTTTTGGTATTCATCATAACCTTTATGCCATACAGAGATTCAGTTCCAATTGATCATCTTTTAAATACAACATTAAGACTTTTAAAATAAAAAAGCTATAAAATATGGCTAACAATCTACTTCATTTCATCAGGGGTAAGATTTACAGATTGAATATTAATCTAAAGTATCACCTGTCATTATTTGTCTTCATGCTCTGACTTGGTTTAGAACAGAGCCATCTCCTCCATCTTGATCCTTTCTGAAGCCATCAGACACATCCTGTGCATTTTTTTTAATTTGTTTTTGTCTCTTTCTGATAAAAGCTTTTGTACGTGCAATTGATTATTTCCTGCTCTGATTCTGAAGGATATCTGAGATGTGGCTGTGATCTCTTTGGTTGCTGTGGCAGTGGTGTCTGTTCTCTGCCTTTCACAGTGACAACTGTCATGGTTTATGCTTTAGAGCAGATTTTCTTGCTGTTTTGATTGTCCTCAAGTGGAGACTGTCCTGATTTGCTCCTGGTTTGTCATTCTCAGTGATTAATTTATTTAAATTTCAAGAGCTATTCTACCATAGTAGATATTCCAGTGTATTTTGACCAGGCATACTTGTTCAACTGAGCCTGAAAAGTGGTGATGTAATGAACGATACCATCTCCATGAGGAAATATTCATTAAAAAATTAGACCTGAATGGAAAAGAGAGTTTGATCTTTACTTGGTGCTAGGAATTGAATATTCTTTTCTGACCTGTGTTAGCTACAATGACTATGCTTCTTGTAACCATGTGTATATGATACAAACTGTACAGTTAATATACTGTAGTTCTATCATTTCTTCAAATATTATTCTTCTCTTCATTAAAAAACAAACAAACACCCACAATCAAACAACAAAACACAAAAAAACCAAACTCCCTTGCAAGGATACTCTTTCCTTCCTACCTGATTTTTATACAGTGTTGCTTTAATGAATAATTAAATAATAAGAAACATTTTCATCAAATAAGCTACTCTTTTATGCTATTAAAACACAGTTATACTCATGTGGTCCTTCAGAGGCTGTTATTCTTAACCAACACATTACCTTTAATAAGAAAAGTCAATGTGGGCTTTTTTTTTAACCTACCTTTCTATTCTGCTCCTGATCCCTAGAAAAGCACTTCTGCTTTTCTAGCCAGGTGCAGTTAAGAATGTGGATAAACCCTGCCAGAATCAATAAATATTTTTTTCACTTCTCTGTCTTAATCACATGATAGTATGATGCTGCCTGAAACTGCTTATGTCTTCATCTTAACTGGTAAAATTTGAGTTTAAAATATATAGGAAGTGTGGACTTTTCTAGTTTTCATTCCATAAAAAAAATATGAATGTATCTCAATGGCTTAATTTTAAATTTGTTTAATTGTTTAAATTGTTTGGTTACCAAAATGTTTGATTATCAAAAACATTTATTTCTTTTAGGGTTTTTAGGAATCTCCTGTGAAGAAAAAATAGACCCTTGTGCATCATCTCCCTGCCAGAACAATGGAACTTGTTATGCAGACAGACTTGTCTACTCCTGCAGTTGCAGTTCTGGATTTACAGGACCTACGTGTGCTCAGCTGATTGACTTCTGTGCTCTGAATCCTTGTGCACATGGCATCTGTCGCAGTGTTGGAACCAGTTACAAATGCCTCTGTAGTCCTGGTTTGTACCAAACAGTTACATTACATATTTTATAAGTCATCTACTATTTTTGTATTGTAGATTTCAACGTATACTTTAAAATTACTTCATTTTTTTCTTTTCGGTACATAAAGCACATTGAGCAGATGTTCTGTCTGTTTAGAATAATGCTAGGAATCTACACATTCCATTTGAAAAATCAGAAGTTGCAGGGTAAGCACTGAAAATACCCACTGAGATCCACATGGCTTGGTTGATATTTACTGTTATATTAGAGAATAGTAGTGTGCAGGATAAGTCTTTCTTAGGTGAGATATCAGTGTCAGTATTGAAGTTGCAAAGTTTGGGGGAATGACTGGAGAACATAACAGTAATTTTTGGGAAAGGATTGGAAACAGACAAAGTAACTGAATAAGGTACAGTAGGAAAAAAATGTTTGCTAAATAGCAGAGGGTGTGAACAGGAGAAAAAAATTTGAAGTTCTAAATAATTACAGAAATCTGTATACAGCAAGGGGAGGTAAAAATATGGGAGCTGCTTGATAATATCAACCTATTCCTTGATTGGCTAGTTTGTGTTCCATTAGCTTGTTTAATTTCTGAACAGAAAAGTTTTTCTAGCTCTTGAATGGTATAAGATATTAGGACACGGTGAAGCAAAATCTCTGGAGGAAGGCAGAACTATTGAGATGCAGAGCTGGACAACACTGAAAGTGATCAATATATATCAGTAGGATTTGATCCTTAAGTGATTTTAAATGTATGACTGAAACCATAATTGACTGAAAAAAAAAAAACAACCAAAGCACTTTGAAGAGGATTAAAAAAAAAAAAAAAAAATCTATGCTAGATATGGTCTGGAGAGTTCTAAAAAGAATTGTAGGAAATGAAGCACAAAAAGTCACCAGCAGCCTCACCTTCCCAATTAGTGTAAAAACTGTCTTCTAAATGTCCAGTATAAAAAGGGATCGGATTTGCAGAGCTGTCCAAGGGCCCCCCAGTGGCATCCCTGGAAGCAACACTCAGTGTCTCTGTCTGGGAAAACCAAAGAAGACTCTGACAGCCTGCTGCAGTACTTATGATGTTAGTGAATAAAATTTGCGTGCAGCTTGGTAGCATTATCAGAAGTTAATAATAAATATTCTGAACTACAGAGAGACATTACCATACATTAGTGGGAAAGAAATGATATCTGCTTCTTGAGCTTGGAGGCTCCCTGACTTGCAGGCTCTCAATATCAGTATGCCTAGCTCCAAGACTTTTTTTATGTGGGAGTCTCTCACTTTCAAATATACCACAGAATGAATGCACATAATGCAGGTATGTTAGCAGTAAGTTTACTAAATAATATTTTAGAACTCCCTTCTGTATTGGTGATGCATTGTCTCTGAAACCCACTGTTTAGAAAAGAAAGCAGCAACTTATTTTTTGTGTGATGATGCCATGTTCTGTTTATATGGTATTTGACAGAGGATGTAATTTCTTATTACAAAAGCAAAGCGCTGCAAAATTTTGCTTCTTTTTTCAACTTGAATGCCATCCTTCCTTTATGCAGTTTGTACAAGCAGGTATACAGTGTCATCTGGATTTTCATTTTTGTTACTCTTGCCTCAAAAATTAAACAGGAGAGGAATTTTAAACAGTTCCAATTAAACCAAGGTCTGTGAAAGTTCCCTTGCTTAGTAGGCAGTTTGATTTCCAGATTGGTACACTGGCCAAAAACACATGATGAATGAGAAGTGATGGCTATTATACTTGTATGTCTTGCATATCACGTTTTGCAGAATGCTCACAACCAGACATTGCTACTGATTTTTATGCGTGCGTTGACTCTCATGAGCATAGTCATGCATAACCTACACCATGTACTAGCTTGTACAGAAAAGCTAATTTGTATAAATTAACTTGGAAAGCTGACTGATGCCTTTGAATATTCTCATTTCCAAACTGGGAAAGAAAAATAGTCAGCGTTTCTGAGTTAGGTTTTAAATGAACAGATTTATTTCTCGATCACATAATGTACAGCTAAGTTAGTGAGGAGCTGTGTATGAACTGATGTTCCTTGTGAATTAGAGTTCTCTTTTGCTTTTTATCCCATTAGGCCTTCCCAATAAAAATGGGTTTTGTCCTACTCTCTTAATTTGCTAAAGTGTTAAGTGTGGATGAGCACAGGGAATCGCTGCCAAGGAGGTAGGGTCTGAGAGACCTTCAGAAACTTTCAACCTTGTTCTTTATCGACTTACGAAGAGAGAGGAAGCATCTCTCTCTCCCTTTTGTTAACCTGTTAGCGCAGATATTCTCAGGAGGTCGGCAGACACTGCTGTATCTTTTGCCCCCATCAGCTTGTTCTTGAAGGCTCTGACAAAGCCCATGGCTTTTCATCAGCCTGCTTGATACAGATTTTGTGTTCCCTTTCATGTTCTTTCCCTTTGTAATTTTTAACACAGCCATGTTGAAAAGTGCCTCAGCACAGGTAGTTGTCTGTAGCCCATGCCTCCCTGTTGCTTCAGCAAGAAGGATTTGGGAATCCAGGTGAGAATGGCAGCAGATCCTGCCCTTGTGAAGATGGATAGCAAAGGATGGTTGTTTAGAAGGAGAAGAAGTAATGCAGGGGCATCTTCATTTTATTTTACCTTTTAGATTCACTATTCCTTTCCCAGCCTCTGAAGAGAGCGCATCAAAGTGAAACTGTCAATGGCAGATTCTGCTGATGTGCATGAAACTGAAGGTATATTCACTTTGTAGTGACCTGGAAAAATAATTTAATCTTCTTAGGTGTCCTTTTTAAAGCCACAATGACAAATTTGTTTTCTGCTGTTCAGGACACAGCAGCTAGAGTAGTGTTGTTAATGTACATGGCATTCCTTTCCGAACATGTCCATAGAAATGTTATACACAGCATGGTAGGCAAATAGCTGTGTTTGGCATTGTGAGTTTAATCTTTGTGCTACAAAGGAAGCAACTGTGCTGTAATCTGTTATTTTGAATTTATTTCTGAAATATTCTCCCAATTCCATCTCAATTCTTTAATAAAACAAACCCACAAATTATTAGCTTGAATAATCTTCTTGAAGACATATGTCTGCATCCAGCACCATACATGGCTCATACACCAGTGTAATTTAAAAGCAAGTGTGAAGAGAAGCCCTTCTGAAGAGCTGCAGGAGGAGACTCAGTGCCAGCAGGTGCAGTGCTGTGAGTGAGGGCCTGGGGAGCTGCAGATGGGGGAGATGCATCTTCTGGCTTTGGAGAAAATGGTTCTGAAATATTTCTTAGTAAGTCCAGCTACTTAACATAAAAAGACAATTTTGTGCAAAATCACAATGTCTGTATATACCTTTTTAGTACAAGTACCTGTTGTATCTTCATGCAGTTTTTTTTAAATCATACATAATGGGAAGAGAGGTATCTGGAGTATCTGGAGGTGCTGTTGTTTTTTTTTTTTTTTTTTTTCTTTCTATGGTTCTATGACAATTTGGGAAAAAATGTAGACCAAGAGAGTGATGTCCACTTACTAAGTTGAGAACCTGGCCCTCTTTTTTGTTACTTTTTCATGGTAGCTACTCTCATCTCATGTCTGTAAATTTTGCTACTAACCAGAGATTTTCTAAAGAAGTAAAATTGCACTGAAGAATCTCACATTATATTTCAGCTCCTTTTCCCTGGCATCTTTATTCATGCCCATAACATCTGAATTTATGATATGGTCATTTATCTACTGCTTTTATAGTTGTATGTTACAAGTAAATAAAGATCTTAAAAACCATATAAAACCTATTACAACACACAGCATTATAATATAGATTACAAATACGTATTCACTGTATTGCGTCACAGTAACAAGAGGTCAAGAGAGAAATTCTGGCTGCAATGAGGGAAGAGGGTTAAATGTTTAACAGCTGCTTTTGTTGTTAGGCCAGAATGCTTATCCTCACTTTTCCTGCAGGTGAGGAAAGAAGAGATGGTGCTGTGTTTTCACAACACCAAATTATTTAAGAAAACACGGAAGGCAATCGTTTGTCTTCATTATCTGCTCAATTCAGTTGATTCTAACTTCCTGATCAGTTTGCAGGCAGGCTGTATGGTTCTGTGGCATGAAGTTGGTAGCAGAACATAGTGAGCAGCTGAAGAGAGAGGTGTGGTAGAAAATGCAAAATTCTTTTATCTCAGTCTTTATCATACTTTCCAGAAAGGATACAAGCATTGTAAAAAATGCATGTTTTAGTACAAATCTTTGTACTATTTGTATTTCTACTTTCAAGAAAGAACATGTTTTGTCTTAAATTCTGAACCTTCCCCTAAAGGTTTTTTGGCTAATTATGAAGCACTCCCTGAACCTCAGATGAGTGGGAAATAACTGCTTAGAAACACTTGAGCAGATTGCCTTTTTCATTGGGCAGATGTACCTGTTTACCAGGGAGGTAGCAATGTTTATGTTGCATTTAATCACGTTATTTATACTTACTGAGCATTGTGACCAGTTTATTTCCTAGAAATGTTGTCTAGAAAGACTTTTCAACTACTGTTAAGACTGATGATCATATTTATTTCAAGCAGATTAACTCCCTTTTTCTTATTTATGGTAAAAGTGAGTGGCCCTTAACAGGCCTCAATACTGTGCTCCAGTTTTCTTTGTCTGGATAGCCAGACCATAATACCTTCCTACTATACTTGGAAATACTGTATAAATAAAGTATCTTAATGCTTATGAATTGTTTTGACTTCTACAGTATAAGTTGAAATATATTATCATTCTAACTACCACTTTACAGTTATCACCTCTTTGATGAAAAGTTGCTTTGTGACTCAAGAAAACTCAAACATATGTAGATAATAGATTATTCCATTTTGTCATCTGAGTGCAGTCATTTGCATTGTTCACAGTGGCTTTGGCTAGCTGCCTCAGTGTCTGCCACCTCACTGTGCTTTATCACATTGAGAGTGGCTGGGTTGTCTCAGATTCCTGGATATTACTATTATTTTTTTCATTTTACCTTTGGAGCATTTCATTTTAGCTTTTGTCCTTAAATTAATGTCTCAACATGTCTCTGTCTGCACAGTATATTTCAACTAGCACACACCTGCCCACAATCTATCAAAGCATGATTATTAATTTTGACTGGAAAGTGTTTCATGGCTTTATTTCCTTTCTGTGTGATTTAGGTTACCATGGCCTTTACTGTGAGGAAGAATACAATGAATGCCTTTCTACACCCTGCCAGAATGGGGCCACCTGCAGAGACCTCGAAAATGGCTACAAGTGCTTGTGTCTTGCTGAATATGAAGGTAAAATGGCTCTCATCTCTTGTTTTTTGAATGTTCCACGTATTATTTTATTATAGGTTTGGTTAAAAACTGATATACTGAATCCTCCATTGAGCAGAAATAAATCCCACACGTAAAATCAGTAGTAGCAAGCTCTGGTGTAGATCCTGATCCCATGGTCTTTATTCAAATGAGTAGTTCAGAGTAGTTCAGACGTAGCTAGCTTGTGTAGTTACTCATTTGAGAAATGTATGCTACTGTATGGGGACAAGTGGAATCTGTTTGTTCTTCTGAAGTGTGCTTTTTTCCTGCTGTTTTTAAGTTGTACGTGGGGTTTTCAAAGAAAGCATAATACAATTCTTTCATCAGCTATTCTTGGGAGGCATTATATGGAGAGCTTTCCAAATCTTATTTTGGATTTTCCAATGAAGTAGCTTAAACAGTGATAAAATATTAGTATTCAAAGCAGATTAGCACAAAGGAGTAAAAAGGGAAGTATTTATTTTGGCTGTTCATTTAGAAGACCATAAAGCCCAGTAGCAGTAGTTCTGTGACTGCCTTACCATGTTGAGCATATCTGGTCCTGGACATATTTGAATGGAATCTGTCTTCAGTGTTTCACAAATGATTTCTATTTAGAGCAGGAAAGTATGTGCTTTACTGTACAAAATCTTTTACCTTGCACTAGATTTCAGCTTTAGACAGTGTAGCACTTACCATTCTGTGACATATCCATCCCTCTGTGGAGGGCTAAAACACTGCTTTGTTTTGTGTATTCTGTTTGGAGTTGTGCTGTGAGAATATTTTGAACTTACGTATTATTTCTATTATGTATCTATAAACACAGAATGATTATGTTTTAAGGAACATTACCCCAACATTTTTTCTCATTAAGAGTATCAGCCTTTATCTGTGTGGTTAAGTAATGCTCATTTAACAGCTTTTTGAGGCTAAATATTCATTCCGTGCTGGTGATTGCACTGTTCTTTGACAATAAAGAATTCATCACTGGAGAGGCGTAGTGAGGAGATGACCCTCAGCTTTTCATAACAGGAGCATTCAAGGAGCACTTAACCATAGCGTTATGACTTCATCTTCTGCTTTCAACCTCTGTCTGTGTGTGCAAGTGAGAGCTCTGTGCGTTCAGCATTTCAAATTAAAGCATTAGACCTGGTCCTCTAAACAGTTTTTGCTGATTACTGAGCTTTCTTCTTTCTGTACTTAATGTATGCAGTGTTCCTAATGAAAAGAGCAGAGGTAACTGGCTCAAGATATTATGTGAGCTGTTGTGTGGGCTTCAATTTTACTAACGCCTCCCCCTGTCTGCAGTCCCCCTCCATGCCCCTGCTTTCTCCTGGTAGCTCCCAACTGGGCAGGCTCCTGGTGGCTTCCAACATGCACACGGTGGCTCCTGACTCTGCTGGCCTCCTCTGCTTTGCTGCAGAAGTGGAAACTGACTAACTCAAGTGTTTACTCATAGCTACGCATTTGAATAAATTAATTTATCTTCTCAATTGCCTCAGCTGTGCTCCTCCGTTTCCTGCAAAAGTCAATGAGAGGCATCAGAATGCTTATGCATATAATTACATTTTTATGTTCAGTTATTACTGAAGATGATTGTTGTTTAAATTTTATTGAAGAATAGCTGATCAGATTATGCATCACTATGTCATTGTTTTTTGTAGAAACTCCAGCAGGTCTTGTTAGCAAAAATTGCCCTTCCTCCCTCATGGGTCATAAGGGCAGTGGGAAAGCATGTGTATTAAAGCTTCACCACCCCAAAATGTATGGTTGCAGTTATACGGCAGGCTTGGAAGTTGCACATCATTGCACTCCTCCAGGTGAAGTTACCACCTGTTCTGATTCCAGACTGTCAATGTGCATAATGTTAACAGCAGTTACTAATTTTTCCTTTTCAGGAAGTCTCTGTGAATTATACAAAGATCCTTGTGTTAACATCAACTGTCAGAATGGTGGCACTTGTGACAGTGAAGGGCTGAATGCCACATGTATTTGTGCACCTGGATATGCAGGCAAGTAATTTGTACCTTACGCAGGATGTTTAGTTGTCAGTGTTTACCATGTCCAAAAAGAAGACAAACACCAAATAAGACGGCATCTCTTGAAGGACACTAATTAATTTGGATGTTGGTGAATTGTAGTCAGTCTAGTGGGAATAAAAATTTATTGATATTTCTTGCAACTGCTTTCAAATTAAAAAGTTTTGTAGTAAAAAAGCATGTTGTTGAAGGAATTCACGAGGCAAATGTCTGTCTAGTGTACCTTCTGAGATTTCTGCTTGAGACTAGATTGCATTTTAAAAATAATATTTTGAAGAATTTCAGGTAATCCAATATACTAATTGGACACTTGAAACTGGAAGATGTTGTAACCTTGACCCATTAATTACTGTGAACTGAAGAAACCACTCATTCTGTTACCTGAATATACAATCTCTAAAAGCCCTAAAATGCTTGTTACAAATCAGTTTGTACTTTCAGAGTAATGGTAAGCAGCCCATTTCATCCTTTGGCCTTATATTTAAACTGATATGATTGGTGTAATCAAAATATCTGCTATAATATATTCTAGAACTTGATGCTCTGTCATATAAGGTAGCATTGAAGGACAGTAATAGATGAACCTATTCATAGCCTTTTGTAGATCAAATAGTGCTTTTTTTCTGTGATAAAGGCCATAAAAAAAAAAAAAGCTTTCTGTTGCACAATGGCTGTTTCTCAGAGGCTTATTATCTACATTGTAATAACTCAATAGCAATTCAGGATATATATATGGCAATTTGTTATATTGTATTTGCTTTAGAAAGAATTTATATTTAAAGCAAGGAGAGAATACTCTGAGTGAGATAAGTCAAGTCACTTAGCCTTTAAGCTTCGCTCTATCTGGTTGAACAAGGATTTTTCCTTTCTAAGGGTTCTGTGAGGCTTACTTCTTGAAGGACTTACGGAATAGTTTTGATGTTCATAGAATGGTTTGGGTTGGAAGGAACCCAAGATCAACTAGTTCCAACCTCCCAGCTGTGGTCTGATTGCCCCACACCAGATCAGAGTGCCCATGGCCCCATCCAACCTGGCCTTAAACACTTCCAGGGATGTGGCATCCACAGTTGTCTGGGCCTCGCTGCCCTGTGAGTGAAAAATTACTTCCTAACACCTAAAGTGCCTCTTTTTTAATTTAAAGCCACACCCCCTTCTCCTGTCACTATCAGTCCTTGTAAAAAGTCAGTCCCCTTCCTGCTTATAAGCTCCATTCAAGTACTGGGTGGCCACAAGGAGGTCTTCCCAGAGCTTTCTCTTCTCCAGACTGAACAGTCATAGAATCATAGAATGGTTTGGGTTGGAAGGGACCTTTTAGATCATGTAGTTCCAATCCCCTGCAGCTAGACCAGATTGCTCAAAGCCCTCTCCAGCCTGGCCTTGAATGCCTCCAAGGAGGGGGCATCCAAGTCCCTGAGCCTGTTTTTATAAGAGAGGTGCTCCAGCCCTCAGAGCATCTTTGTGGCTCTCCTCTGGACCCACTCTGAGAACAAAGATGCTTTTGAGCTATAAGGTATTAAGCTGTTAGAGAAAAATCAAATGACATTGATGACATGTCTTATGTATGATACGGCTGCTGTATAGAAGTTGTGGGGTTTTTTGTTGTTGTTTGTTTTCTTCTCCTGATACAAGGTGAAGAATGTGAAATTGACGTTAACGACTGTGACAGCAACCCGTGTCACCATGGTGGAACTTGCATAGATCAGCCCGGTGGTTACACTTGTCACTGTCCACATGGGTGGGTTGGTGCAAACTGCGAAATACGTAAGTTTTGTAAAAACTTTAAAAAGTTGTGTTTTTTTTTAAGATGTGTATATGTATATGTATGTACTTAATTGTCTTAAAAACTTTTAAAAGTGATACTGGCTTATACTACAGAAATTTACATTTTTCTCTAAATACCTGTCTATACAAATAATCTGAATCATCTGTTAATTATCAAAGTTCCATTAAACACATTTTCGAGGAGAATGCTGAACTAGATTTGGACAATAGGGATCAAGCATAAGGATGATCGTGATGAAGATAAGGCCAGAGCATTTCAAAAGTAGCTGTGAAAGCTGGAAAATTCTGTTTCTGGCACCTTGCCTGGTGATGTGTTGGACCAGATTGTCAAAGACGCTGCCTCACAGTTGGGCACTGTGCAGTTTGTCTCTTAATTGCACGTATGCTTCAGAGCATTTTCGTACTCAACTTGTGTAAAGAGCTGTGTGCACAGCAGACTGGTACAGACTTCTGAGCACCTGCAGTTCTAGAAATGTTTCCACAAAACTTTTGAACTTGCTTCCCTCAGGACACCAGGACTGTGTAATTATGCTGACTGGTGTGCACATGCTGTTACCACCTTTTTCAGGAGTAATTTCCACCAGATTTGTTAAGAAGGTAAAGGTCTCGCAGACAAAGTATTTCCTAACATTTAGTAAGTTTTAGGGAAGGTCTGGTAAAACTCCATTGTGATCCTCCTTAGCACAGAGGAAAACTTTAGTGCAAACTTGCACTTACTAAGCAGTAGAGAGTGCATGAGAAGGAGCCCAACTGTGGAATATTTAATACAAAAATTAGTTTTCATTCCTGCTGCACAGAGGGCTACTTTATATTTCACTGATGTCCCATTCTTGAGCTACAGATATCTTCTCTACTCAAGTTTAGCTGTTCATGGTATCTTCAGATACCATGGCCATGGATCCCTTCAAGATTTTACACAGGTGCACACGTTTCTGTGAGGGGATTATTTACAACATTTTACACAGAGAATACACTCAGAAAATTCCTATTGTACATTTATGAGAAATTGCCTGCTCAAAGGCTGGAATAAAAAATGTTTTCTATGTATCATTTCCACAAGCACAATACAAAGCTTCATTTTTTTACTAAAACATTGCTTAAATATGTCAACAGCTTTTTAAGTTTATTTCTATTCTCAGTGTTAGTCCCTGCTTTAACCCAAAATGTCATCACCCAGCGTGGTGTTGGGAACACCGTGCTGTGTGCTGGCTGTACGCAATATTGCTGGTGCTTCGCGGTGATCAGATGAGCTTTTATTGACAGGGCTGCTCAACATGCATGTCTCAGGTGTCACTGAGTTAATGAGCAAGGCAGTACAATTCTGTCTTCGTTAGCTAAGTAGTGGGCTGACAGATGAGCTTAGTCTTACAGAAAGCAATAATCATCCTTTAGACATATTTCAGGGAGTGCCTGCATATAGTAACAATTATGTTTCTGTTACGTTATGGAATGAATAACTAAGGGAAAACAGGGAGGGCTGCATGTTTCTGAGCCCTGCAGATGAGCTGTATGAAATCAGGGATGTTTGCTCTGCAGTCCTTTGGCTGTCATGGCCAAGGGTCACTAAGAGCTTGGTACTTTCCACCAAACATAGTGTAGATGTGGGAAATGGGGAGAAAGCAGAACAGAGGGAGGAAGGAGCCTCTTCAGCCACCCAGTTGCTCAGTTATTCCTACATCCCTCTAATAACTAAATAAGACAGCTGAGGTTCAAACTTACAACTGTGAGTGGTCAACATAAATTCTTTCTGATCCGATTTGTAAGTCTGTGAGAGAAGCTGTGGATAAAACTATACTTGAAACATCATTCTCTTGAGTGAGGAGATTGTCTCTGCTTAGTGCATATTTCTCTACATGTAGCATCTGGTTATACATGAACAGCAGTGGCCTTGTCTGCTGCTCAAGAACTTGGAATTTCTGTTCATTACATGCTTGCAAACGATGTAAGTTTAAATGATGGGAAGAAGCAACAGCATGTATTTATTACTGTAGCAAGCCTTTCACTGACTTCGCTGATTTGTTCTTTTATCTTGTGACTGTTGTGACAGGAGGCAGGGAATTATCTGAGTGTTAATTGGCATTGATAATACTGCAAGCCTGATTTTTAACCAGAAATATTGGTCCTTTTCTTCCCACCTCAATATTTGAACAATAAATCATATTGTATTTTTCATGGCAACTGCTTTCAATTGAGGAGGCGGAAATTATTGTAGATATATATTTTTTTTCCAAAAAAACCCAGATACTGAAGTTTATATATGTAATAATAGTGTAGAGAAATTAAAAATGCAATCTACCACTAGTTTCTTTGGTAAGCTTATCATCAACAAATGTCAGTTTCCTCGCTAGTAAAGTTTCTTTTATCCAACATCAAAGGAAAATGTTGTTATGGGGCCCTATGATACTTCAGAACAGCCAGATCTAGGTATGGACATGCAGCTTCTCTAATCAATACAGTGGCTAATACACAAAGCTGTGGAAGCTTTCCTAAACTCCCTGGATTTTAACAGGTATATAAAGGATTATGCAAATAGAGAGGGACTGAGTTTTGAAAAAATCACTTTGCAGAAGGATTTAAAAGCGTTTTGATCTGCAGGTTTTTCTACAGAACTATGTATCTGTGGGAAGTTCTTTGTGCTCAGAGCTAAGAGTTGTCTGTCTGATCTGAACCCAGTCTGGTCATGTCTAGAAATAAAAAGTCCATATCCAGCTCCTTTATGAACAGATACAGCACATCTGGGTTTGCTGGAGCTCAGTCAGTGGTGCATGGAATTTCTATTCAGCTCTAAAGGTTGAATCTTTTGGTGTATCTGCTTCTGCTGGTCTCCCCATAGCCCCTTGTCATATTTATTATATTGCTTCAGCATTCTGTGGATAATAGTGTATTGGAAATTAGATTTAAATGCTGTATGCTGGCTTCCCCTCTATTGGACCATCCCTCTGAACACTGGAAAAAAACAAGATGGACAGCTCTTAGGGAGTCTTTTGACTAAATACATCACACTATCTTTTGTGACTTTCTGTTACTGGCTATGAAGGAGGCTGACTGTACTTAGCTTGTTGAAAAATTCTCCAATTACTGTTAGTTCCCCATTTTATTTTACTAGCTATCTGTTTTACCAGCTTGAATAACTGAAGTCACTACCCCAGCAGGGTTTCAGAGTTATCCTTTTGTCAGATGGCATTCTTCAGTTTTCAAAAAAAAACAGTGAAAAGAAATGTAATTCACCTAGATGAACTGTGATATTTACTAGAACATCTTATGGTTCTTTACCAGTGTTAGCAATTCCAATTAAATAGGATTAAATTGGTCTTAATTATAAATAAGAGATTTTTCTTTCAAGATGAAGTGTATTTGCCTAAAAAGTTAATGGGGCATTCAGTGTAAAAATGGTTACAAAATATCTCTCATGGATTCTCTAATGCCTGCTGTTTATATAGTTAGTATCATAACCTCTGCCACTGCTGTAATTATTAATGTAGTTATCAAGGTAAGCCAAGCTGGATGGTTACTTAAGAACTGATACTGCAATGTATTTGTAGTGCAGACTGTGTGGTGCTCATTGAAATCTAATTCTTAATTAATTAATCCTACTATGACAACTGACAGAAAATATTGTCATTTTTAACTGTCATATGTTCTTTCTCATCTTTGGAGTATAAGCTGTTAATCTTTGTATTTTTATCTGCTGAAGAAGAAAGGAAGAAATATCTCTCATACTTATCACACAGAGATGGAAGACACAGAGTCTAAAGCAGGACTGTCTTGCCATATATCTGCTCACATGAGATCTGATTTTGGCTTAGTCTGACAACCTGACAGAAACCACCATGTGTGATGAATGTGCTGCAGGACAAAAATAGAAAGCTATCCCAAACTGCACAGAGCACAGCTGCACTTGCTCCTCATTGCCTGCCCGAGCAAATCGCAGTAACAGCACTGCAGAAACATTAAGTCCCTGAATGATTCAGGCAGATCAAAACTTTACTGATCTCTGAGGAAGATTAAAAAAAACAACAGTAACAAGCAGTCCCATCAACACAGAGCAAATTTACAAACACAAAATCTGAGAAAGCACAAGCTTGGGGTGCATCAGGACAGCATCCATTTCTTCAAACAGTGCCCAGATGAATACCATATGCTAATCTTTCAGACTTTCCCCCTACTTTCCTCTAAAATAGATTTTTTTCCCCATTACCTGTATGTTCCCCTGTATTTCTTTGATAAATGCAGATTCTATCCACAGATGCTACTAAACTTGTCATCATAGCTCAGGGGTTCAAATCACTTAACCATCATCAACATCCTTGAGAGGTGGCTGCTAAGAATATGCTAACATTCTCAAAGCACATCCTTGACAAACCTGTTCCCAGGCTGCATTTGTCATTAAGTAAAAGGAGTTTCCCAAACAGTGTAAAGCAGAAGTCCATTTAAAAAAAGAACAGTCACTTTCTAGAAATAACTTGTGAAGAGTGTCAGATTTCTGTAGTTAGAATGATTCAAGTCCATTCCGGGTCTGAAATAATTTTGAGACCATAGCCTTAAAGGACTGCCAAAAATGAACCCTAGAGGGAAGTACAGGCTAGTAAGAAATCTGAAGTTAATAAGAAAGAAGTGTGAAGACATAGGCAAATGATAGATAATTTGCTTGGTGTTGACAGATAATAGTTTGGGCATTGAGAATGTTTGTAGGAAAAGGTTTGGAATATATAAATACAGGAAGCCTCTTCCAGATTAGCTTTACTTTAATTTCTGCTTTGAGACCTTTCAGGGAACTTAGGTATGAGCTCAATGCTTATGAAGTGCCCTTTTGTCCGTGAAATGTTGGTCCTTCATAGGAATGTGTATCTGCCTTCCTGCGCTTTGCAGCGCACTATGCATCTCATAAGAGTAAAAAAGGAATGGTTTTTCTTTAGTACAGGCATTTTAAATGAAAGGTTCCAAGTATACTCATGTCCAGATATGTTCCAAAACCAAAATCTTACAAGTCTGATCATATGCCATTCTAAAAGTGAACCTTAAGCATCAGGTCTTTGGCAGAATGATGGTGGAAGATGTTAGTGCAAAAGATATTAAGTTTCTTGAGCAAAGTGTCATGCCTACATGTAAGAGAACTCCTCGACCTGTGCTGTCATCTCTGGAAGAGGCAGTCTTTTTTTCCTCGAGTGACTTCTGCTTTCTCTGTACATGAGGGGAGATGATTGTTTTCCCTGATACAGCTGTCAAAATAATGGGGCTAAGGAAGAAAATGTATGGACACAGTGCCTGTTTTTTGTACTAATCTGCGCACTCACAGAAAGTCTTAATCTACTTAGGCTATAGAATTTTTTTTTGTCAGAGAATGTACTCTTGCAAACCAACAAGAATATTGATCTGTACTGGGAGATCACCTAAATCTAATTCCACCTTGATTGAAGGTGAAAATTATCAAGCTATTGAGGATTTGAAAAAGACTTTAAACAATTTTTTTCTTGCTATTTAAAACATAGTAAATTAGCATAGTAATAACAGATTTAAAAAATTAAGGCAAGAAAAGTGCATTTGAAGGTTTTGGGGAGAACAGTCTGGTGCTGAAAGTGTCTGCATTTTGCTGCAGACACAACAAAGCCCTGTATTTGAAAATAAAACCAAACATGTTTAATATGCATTAAATCATATTTTAGTAGAAGTATTCACTAATTTATTGGGAGAAATTGCACAGAAAATCTATAAAGCACTGGAAACTTTTAGATAGAAAACCTCCCTGCCTTCATATGCTTTAGTAAAGCATAATGTGAGAATAACTAGGTTGCTTTCTATGATTTGGATTAAACAGGAAACCAAACTAGAGAAATGATTTTTATGATCATTAAAAAGCTACAAAAAAGATGATTGAAAGAATAAGTAGTGCTGTTTGAATCTGCTGCACATTGGCATGCTGAGATATCCATAGCAGAGCCTGGAAAGTTTCAAATTATGTATTCCTGGCCTCAAAAGTCTCCAGAAAAATACTGAAAGTGGATATAATAAAATAATTCCATTCAGCAGGAAGGTTATAAAGTACTATTTCATACTATAAAATACTAATCATACCTTCTATTTTTTATTGGCAGATCTGCAGTGGAAGTCCGGGCACATGGCAGAGAGCCTAACAAACATGCCTCGTCACTCCCTTTATATCATAATTGGGGCTCTCTGTGTAGCATTCGTCCTGATGCTGATTATTCTAATTGTGGGAATATGTCGCATCAGCCGTATCGAATACCAAGGCTCTTCCAGACCAGCCTATGAAGAGTTTTACAATTGCAGAAGCATTGACACTGAATTCAGTAACGCAATTGCTTCTATCCGACATGCCAGGTTTGTTCTGGGGATGGTAATTTAAAAGAAATCTGTTGTGATATGTAATTTCAGTCCCTGCGTGTTGCATCTAACTGCTGCTGGCAGAGAATGGGCTGCTCCACTGTGAGAAGACTGGATCACTGGTCCTTGTTCTTTCCGATCCCTGTTCTGTTCTCAGCTGAAGTATGGTAACCCAGCACAACTCCTTGAAGGCAGCGGGAGTTACTCTGACTTTATTTGGTGTGACTAGTGTAAGAGGGACAGATGCAGTCCTTAGCCTGTAAGATCTGTTCAGGGTAAAAATACTCTCTAACTGATACATGCAAGTAATTTGATGAGATAGCAAAGCCAGTTGTTGATTTTCTGACTAATTTACCATACTACTCAGTCGGATTCTTCAAATGACTCATCTTCTGTGCCCCTATTTGCCTCCAACCGAGGATCTTTCTTTCTTACTTTCCTCAAGAGAGTAATCTCTTGACGTTTAATTTTAATGGAGTGATGGCACCCGGGGCATTGAGTGTTGGAATAATACAAAAGCCAGATTGGAAGGGGTTCAAGAGCTCAAGTGCAAGCCATTGTATTGATGTAGCATTAATTATACCTAGCTCTCTGCCAATAATTGCCTTTAAAAACCTCCAAAGTAGTTGAATTGAGTTAGAAAGTACTTTCCTAAAATCCAGCCTAGATTTTCTTTGCTATGATTAGGCCGCTTCTTACTGTTTTTCAGGTCATCATGGACAGTAGTGTATCACCATTCCCTTTACGGTACTTACGTACATCAGGTATCCATCTTTCCCTTCCTACCTCAGTGGAAGCACAACTATTATTTTCTTCCCTGGAGTAAGCCAACTCATTCTTTCAGTATTTCCTCCTGGATCATGTCAGCCTCTTTAATGGCTCCCTGTGACACATTCCAGATTGTTTTTCTCTTTTCTGAAGGGTGGTCCCTCAAACTGGAAATAGTTCTCCAGCTGAAGCTTTGCCTGTACCAAAAGAAATGAGCAATCACCTCCTGTATCTTATTTGTGTCAGTTCTATTCATACATTTGAAAGTGAAACCTTTTTCTTTTAATTGGCCTTACACCAATAATTGATGATTCAATTTTGTGATGTCTTAGTCACTTCCCTCATCCCCAGCATCCTTTTGCCATATTGCACCCTAGCCAGTGTTGTTTTTTATGTATTTGACATCTCTCTTAATGGGGTAGAACTTCCATTTTTTTGTTGTTTCTTTTTCCCATTTCTTTTTGTCAAGATCACTTTGAATTCCAACAATTATGTTACAATTAAATGCTTTTAAAAGAATGGAAGGAGGGATGTTCCTGTGCATTGACATGGAGAAATGTGTGCATACTGGGTAGTGATTTCTGGTAATTCATTTTCTAAATGCTCCAGTTCTGTTTCAGTGCAAATAAAAAAGGTTAATTTGTACCAGTACAGAAGTTCTCCAAGCAATCTGAAATTGATGAGGAGTTCCCACAGGCTCACTTAATCATACTGTAGCTTTGAGCAGTAGCTCTTTAAAGTGTTCCAACTAGATGTACATTAAAACATTTGTTCATTGCCAAATTATATTAACCAGTAAATGTTTTAAAAAGAAAGTTGTATATAGTTTACTTAATACAGTAATCCAAATAATATCAGTACTCTTTTAAGTCTTCCCTTGAAGTCTCTTTTACCTCTCAGCCTTACATTTCTTCTGCTGGGAGCTCAGCATCTCCACAGCACACACATCCTGAGAACTGCTTTTTTCTTTCAGTCCTATATTGGCAGAGGAGGGAGTTGCTTTATGGCCCATGAAATGCTTTATAGCTTTTTATCTGTTGGCCTTGTGAATCTGCTGTTAAGTACTGTATATCTTCAAGGGTGGAGAGCAAGTGCAAAACTGTTAATCAAAAACCTTTTGTCTTACTTGTGCAGCAGTGGTGAATGTGTCATTCCTGTTCACTTACTACTCCTGTTGCTCTTCCCCAAAGACTGGGAATGGTCTCTTGAGGAACACTGTGAAACACCTGGCTTTCCTTATTTATTTCTCAAAGCAAATTTGGCAGCTTTCTATCCAAGGGTACCTAAGGAAAGTGTACAAGAAGGCAGGATCTTTTGAATCTGAATTTCCTCTGCTTTTTGGAGTCTCACTGGCTGATAATGGAAATGTTCATAATGAAAATTTCCTGTATGAAGCCATTTACATCTTGGAAATTGGACAATTTCAGGTCTTTTTTACTAATCTCTGGATTACTCAGAATGAATTTCCACTTATTACAAAAGGCAAAAGTTTAGAAAAACAAATTTGCATCAGGGTTAAATAACATCCAAAGAAGTCTTTAAACAGGGATGTATTCATGATGATTTTTTCAGATCTAAATTAAGCAGTTAAAAATTACATTATTGGAACCTGTCAATAAAGGCTTTCCCTATCTTGGGAAAGGTGGTCCTGTAAAGTGCAAATGAAAATAAGTATATTTATTCCAAATAATTCTTCTCTGCCTCTCATAAAATGAATGCATCATAAAAAAACCAAGACAGCTGCCAAGTTAGTTAATTAGAGAGACTTGGTGTGAAGGTTATTGTGTCCATTTTGGTTTCAGGAAGATGTAAAATACTGCTTTAATCATGTCAATCCAAGAAGAGGAGCACAACTTTCATTGTTCTTTTTGTATAAACCCATAAATCTATGTATTAAGAAAACCCAAGTCTGAATTTTGAGACTTACCGTATTAAAAGACCTGACTTTCAAATAATAGCTTCTCAGCATTTTCTGAAAATCACTCTCTTTCTCAGTTAGATACCAAAACTTGTTAGTAATTTTGGAAAATGTAGGCCTAAGGAAAAGTGAGTAGATTATTTTCTTTAAATGTAAGGTTTCTGACAGTGACAGTAGGTGTCCAGGGAGCGTGGATGCCTGGTGCATATTCTGTAAGTTATTTTAAAATTACTTGTTCAAGTTTCTTAGCAGGTCTTTCTTCTGATCGTTTTTATAATTTGATCTTTACTAATCAGTGTACTTTTGCTGTAAGAGAAAATGAATGTGCTAAAGGAATAGTTTTAGTAAATGTTCTTAGAATTATCAGGCCAGAACTAGATAGTCTTCTAACAAAGTGAAGCACTGCTGTTTTTAGTATTCATTATGCAGAGACTAAATAAATACTCCATTTATATTCATCTCATTTTTAAAGCTTTTAGATTTTGAGAACGCTGTTATAAAATAATTGACCACTTGATAATGCAGCCATAAGATTTCATTAAATTGGAACCAGGAACTGCTGTTGAAACTGTATCATTCACTTTAGAAAAGCATCCACGCTGACTTCATAAAATATGTGATTACAGCCATGGCACTACTGTAATTTTTTCTCGTGTTTAGATACCATTAGCATTAGACTTCATGCACAGCTTACAGTGTAGTTTGTTTAATTCTTACTTCCATGTGCTGCCTCTTGTTCTGTCTGTGGAAGCTGAAGAGCCTGGTGCATCAGGGTCTGATTAAGTCACCTTGTCCCAGCAGGGTCAGCTGCTCCCCTCTACATGCCCTGCACACAGTCTGTGCAGTGAGCACGCTCCTGTGTTTGTCTGCTGTGTCAGATTGCAGAACATGAGGCTTCCTGAATCTGATGAGCTTCAGCACAATTTTCTTACTCTCTGCCAGCGTCTCAACTTCATGGAAACTGTAGGATTACAGTTCAGTAATATTAAGGAACACACAGTGCCACTTGTGAACAAGGGAGAGAAAATTATTTTTCTCATTATTCTCCTCCTGTGGAGAAAAGAATAATCCCTTCCTCCTGTGGGTATGCATTTTTTTTTTCCTTCTGATCTCTCTTTTCTTTTTCATGATTAAACTTTATTTGTGGATGCACTGTATGTTTTTGAGCAGAGTAGCAATAGGTGGTTTTTCGTCTGCTTCTAAGGATGCTCCAAACTCCAGCCTATGTCAACAAAGTTAGAAGTTATCATTTCCTTAGTGTTTGGCTATACAATTTTCTCATAGTTCTTCTACTTCTACTTGGATGGAATTTGTGAGGTTAATGATTCTCCGTGGCTAGCTCTCTTTTGAAATGTTTTTTTAAGGAAGTGGAGAGGCAACCCTGTCCCATGTTGAAGTAGATTTTGCAGACAGATGTGGAGCTGCCTTCGCCAAGAATTCCTATGTTGAATATATACTATCCCCCAAATTGTCATGGAGCCTTCTGTCTCTTAGTCAAGTTACACAAGTTGATTTTATTCCGTGTTTCATTACAAAGTGTGCTTTCTAATTCTCAATATCACTTTTAAATGCTTTCTATGCCACTAGTAAATATCTCTGATAGGTACCTTGGAACAGTATTATTATTCATAAATAGTAATTAATGCTAAACTTAGAGGCCATAAAACTTCCCCAGTCCCCCTGATATGCTGTCTTTATATGTCCAAGTTCTTAATTGTTCTTCTGACGCGGTACGCTACTGTTAAGCATCCATTACATCCCTCCAGTCTTTTTCCAGAATCTGTGCATCGCAGGACTGAGATTTCCCCATCTGCTGTACAATCTTTGTTCCTAGGTGAATAATCTTGCATTTGAACCTTTTTTCATTTTTCAGTGGCAGCATATTAGTTGATCCACTATTCACTGCAGCAGGAACCTTCTTCTTTTCACTATTTATTGCCACTTTAATCCTTGCATCTTGCAGACTGTATTGGTAATTGTTCTATGTTTTCTTTTCTCATCAGTTAAACAGTAAAAAAGCATAAGATCCTTGTGCAACCCTACTACGTACACACCCATTAGGTTAGAACTTCCCACTCAGGACCTCTGAGTTGAGTGTTTGGCACTACGAGTAGGGGCTGGCTTCTGGGCCTCCTGATCAAAGCAATGTGGTCACCAGTCAGATGGCTCAGCCAGGCCACAAACAACTAGCATATGTGCTGTGGTCTTTTCTCAGTATTTTCTAATTAGGGGCACATGTCAACCCTGACCTACACAAGAGAACAGATTTTGTGCTGTTCTACCACGTGCAAAAAGCCATGTGTTCTCTGTTCTTGTCAAAAAGGCAAAATTTTACTTAAATCCCTGGAGAATTTTCATTACTGTTTGTATCTATGAAAAAGCTCTACTTGCTTTAAACCTTTGAGAATGATGAAGAAAATGGGTGATTCAGAACTCATTGCTACCTCTGATTTAGTAAGATACAATAACTCGATTCCCTGATTTGATTCCTGGAATTTTATCTCATTTACAGAAAATCAGATTTATCTTTTATGAAGCTGATGAGTGAACATTGCCTGTTTATACTAAAGTAAACTGTAGAAGAAAGGAAATATTCCTGCATGGAAATGTTATCTAGCGTGGCCTTACTGACATCTGTAGTACTTTGCAAGATGAGATTTCCAATGTTATACTGCTTCCAGCAATTTTAGCTTTACCAACAATTCCAGATCACTAAAAACAGCAAAGAATTAAGTTGGAGCAGTCAGGAGATTGCATAAAAATCTGGGAAGAAAATCAAGTTAATTTTGTTTTGGTCTAAATACTTATTATCCTCAAAATCTGACTTTTCTGAATCTCACCTTCCAATGTGCACAAGTTAATACTGAATTAATACAGTGCATAAGAAGGGAATAAAAAGAATCCTTTGTTTAGATCATTACATAAATAAGTCTTTGTGTTTCTGTGTTAATATTTTGCTCTGCATCAGGTCCACAGGGAAGGCAGACTTGACCCTTTTTTGCCTCTTTTTCATATTATTCTTTTTGTTTAAAATTCCTGTAATTGTAGTCAGAACACAGAAGATATTTTTCCACATTCAAGTCACATTTTGTATCTTAATAAATAATCAGAATAGTGACAGATTATCGATGCAGTGCAAAGGCACCTTGACAAGTTCTGGATATGCCAGCACTGGAACCTCAATGGTACGGCCACAGGAGTTCTCTGCACTCTGTTGCATGAGATACCTCTGTGAGATTAGTATGTTTGTGGCATTGCAACAGCTTCCCTGCCATTAGTTTTGTCAGAATTGCTAATTGTGTGCAGGATGCTGATAATTTCACCAAGCTTCTCAATTGGATGTCAGGTGAGCAAAGCCTTTAAATTACGATTTTTAACACTTCGTCTGTAGCATTTGATTCACTGCACTACTGTCGCGTTTCCAAATGCAAATGGTAACATGGTTATCTGTGATCTGTGGGGCTTTTTTTTGTTTGTTTGCTTTGGTTTGTTTTGGTTGATATGTACGACCTGACCTTAACATAGGTTGTTAGAGAAGGCCTTACAGTAAAAAAATCTAAAATAAAAATCTGGCCTTGTGATAATATGTCAGTTTTACTCTCAACTTCTACAGTCTTCTCAGATTCTGGTACTGCTGAACTTGGCTGCTGAATTCCTGCAGAATTCCTTTGATATGGAATCTGTTTATTGCATTATCATTATGATTACTGTTATTATTTGTTAATAATTAGAATTAATAATATTGAATGAATGCATATATTTTTAAAGTTCCTGTTCAGATAGGTAAACATCTGTACTTCTGGCATGTTGCAGTATAATTTAGGATTTACCTAGGCTCTCTGGGTTGTTGCTGACAGCATGCCATAGCTCAGTGAGTTGTTGCCATTAATGTGTTCATACTCCCATTTGTCACTAAACCTTTTTTTTGTTTCCAGGTTTGGCAAGAAATCCCGACCTGCAATGTATGATGCAACCCCCATTGCTTATGAAGATTACAGCCCTGATGACAAACCTTTGGTTACGCTGATTAAGACAAAAGATTTGTAACCTAGTGTATCTTTTTTGGATTATTTTTCAAAAGGATGGGCTACTAACCTAATTTAAATATTTTTAAGAAGAAAGCATAAGTAATTTAAAACCATTAGATGCTTCAGAATTTTCTGTAGAATATTTAAGAACCAATTTTCTGCAGCTTTTAGTTTGGAAAAATATTTTAAAACAGAATTTGTGAACTTCATGAATTACATTTTAATGTACCTTGAGCTCTATAAACTATAAGCTTATGATAGTGTGTGCTTTTTTCTTGGTAGACACTATTACTAAACCCAGATTGAGTTTCTTGTGCTTGTTACAGAACAGAAAACAATAATTAATGAGGAGTTCTTTTTGACATGTCAGTGCCAGCTTTCTCAGTAGAGGTAGGAAAAATGTGAAGCATAATACGATATATAATATATCCATTAATTAAAAAAGTCTAAAATGTTTGTGTTGTGAAGAAGAAACTAGTAAAAATTATTATTCCTAATCTGAATGAATTAGCTTTTGCCTTATTCCATGCATGGATAGATAGCCTATTTCTCCATTATTTCCTGAAAGTTGCTGGAACATACTCTTGAGTTGATGTTTGACATTTTTGTATTAGTATTCAGGCTAAGCCTTGTATAATAATTAAAGTGCCTCTTGAGGCAAAGTAAGGGCACAATCCTTTAAGCATTGAAATCAATGAAAAAACTTCCATTGACTTCAGTGGGCATGGGATTAGATCCTACAATTGGACTGAATCTATATTTTTCTTTAAAGGTTGAAGTTTTTTATATTGTGAGTAACCTAAGCATATGGTTTGAGTTGTTTGTTTCCTAAGGTTGTTGATGTACAGTATTGTTTCATGAAATATTGTGTATTTCTCATAGTGCTTCTAATTTAGGATCAGTCTGGTTTATTTGTGGCTGTATTTGATTGCTTATGGTCTTCTTAAAATTCTCGCTTATTTCAGAAAATATTGAATAAATGTTATCAAGTGAAGATTGCAGTTGTTTCTTTTGTTTTTCTTCATTTGAAAATGTTGTCTATAAATTTGAAAGGACATGAATGTATCATGTGCTATAAATAATGCCTGGGAGGATATTTCAGCTGTTAATAGTCTGAAAACTAAAAGAAACCAGGGGCTTTACTGACAGGTTATTTTGGCAGAGGTTAGCCTGGAGAGTGGCAGAAATGAAGAATTATGTCATGTTTCTGAAGTAATGAAGTAATGTATCTGTTTGAGCTTTCAGTGTAAGGTAAATAAGAGGAGTGACAAGGCTTCTCTGGCTTAAGTTTAAGGAATGGCAGAAGGAGAAAGTTCAGGTTCAAATCTCTGTTTGGCTTAATTTAGGATGACCTAAATGAAAAGCTCTGTGTTGTTTAGTTCTAAAACTAATAACCATTTTCAGGTGGAGAGTGTAGTAAACCTGAAGTAAAACCTATAGTAAATGTTTTTAGTAAAACCACTCCATACCATAGAGCACAGCTCAGAGGAGTCTCTTACTGTTGGAATGGCTGGGTGGTTGTATATGTCAGCTGATACTAACAGCATGCTGTTTGAATTATATAAATGCCAAATGCATTTCTGAAACCCAGAATACTTTTCCCAACAAGCCAACAGACATCTGTTACCTTGAGCTTTCTTGTTGGCACAAGACAAGAATTACTAGTAGGAGACCTAAGGAAACTAGATTTGAGCCTCCCTTGCATTCCTCAGGCACAGTTTGCTGGGATAAGGGTTGTGGATTTGCATCTGTTGGCTGTTAGGCTAGCTTTTTTGATTCTTTTTCTTTATTCCAAGTATGCAAACTTTTGGTTATGGTGACTTCCAAGTGACTTCCATAGATGCTTTAAGAACCCCTGGCAAAATGACACTGTCAGAAAGAAACACCCAATGTCATTTTTTGTATCTTTTCTTGAACAGGGGTAAATATATTTGAGTTATGATTGATTTGCTAATCACACAGAAAACAAATACTCGTACTTCAGAGTTTTTGTCCCTTTCAGTGGTGAAATTAATATTGATTTATCTTTGAAGAAAAACTATAAATCTTTGAAAAGTATGGAAATGAGCAAGTTGATTGTTCTAGGGAACGTATATACTTATGCACCATATTTTACAAGAGAGATGTTGCAATGAGCAGTAACCCTTCTGCATATAAATCATGCCTTTGTAGTGATTCTTGGCTGTTCTGTATTTCTCTCAAGTGACCAACCTGAAAGATAAGTAATTTGTAAGGAACTGTCAGCTTGAAGCCTCTAGCTTCAGTAAATTATCCTGTGTTTCCTGTGAATTGTGCTTTGAAAATTACTTTTCCTCTTTCCAATTTACTTTATCGCATGTTCTGCATGCTCTGTGCCTGTATCTTTGCTTTTCAGAGATGTTTGTGAGGTGCTGCACTGCCTGCTAAGATGGAACAGCCCTACAGCCCAGAGGGCACAAACCTGTCCTGAGATCTCATCCCAGCTCGGAAGCTGCTAAAACAAGTTGGTTACAAACTGTATGCCACATCATATCTTTCTGAGGATAGACATGCATGGAGACATGAGACACTTGTTATTCCATATTCTCTTCCTAAAGCAGAGGATGTTCTTTCTTTATTTGTTTGTTTCTGTATGCAGAATAAATACATCTGTATAGCAAAAGCCACCTGCTATTAAGATACTACACATTTTATTTATGTTTTCTACAACTCATCCAGATGCAGAAAGGGGTCGGTCTCTGTGTGTGTTTTCAATGGACTGATGGCCTCCAGCTCTCCTGCAGCTGGGGGCAAGTCTCAGGGTTTGTGACTGACTTCCAGTGCTTGTGTCTCTCAGGCTTTTCCCCGAGCTTGGCCATTTGTCTTTCTAATCCCTCTGGGAGGAGAAGAACATCCCTGAATATTTTGCAGCAGCAGGATGGATGTTTACTTTTGTGTGCCTCTTGGCATGGTGGAAACTTGCAGCTCTAGCTCAGAGCTGTGACACATCTATCAGGAAAATGTCATGATTCACATAGATTCTGTAATAAGTCCAAAATGTCGAAGATGGTATCCTTGTCCATGTGGCCAATTGCAATGTCCAAATAAAACAGTTAAGCCAAACAGCTAGAAAATGTATGTTGACAAATACGTATTCATTTTCATCCTTAAAGCATACAAATGCAACCCTAACTGTACCTGACAAAAAGTAAAGCTTCAGCCTCTCTTTAGGTCTCATCTCCAGAGCATGTGCTTTGGGCATTTGCAGGTGCCCTGTGTGAGCTCCAAAGGGGGTGTGTAGCTGTCCCTCGGATGCGTGTGGCTGGAGAAGCCCTGATATTCAGCCCAGTTTGTAGTGCTATTGGGAAGGCCTGATGTGTAGTAGGCATTGGGTGCTGTTGGGAAGGAGCAGTGACAATCTGAACTGTTGTGTTGGTGAAGTGGATGGAGGGTGCAGGGTGTGAGCACCTGTTGCAAGCCTTCATCGGCTGCATTTGTTCTCAGCTCGTTCTGCTCCTGTCAGTGAAGAGACCAAGTGGCACGCAGCAAGGAGCTGTGGGGGCACTGATGATTTCCCAGGCACCTGGAGGAGGCCTGAGGCACTCTGTGAGTAGGACCACTGTGATAAAACCCTGCACCAGCGCCACCAGTCTGACCTCACTGTATTTCCCTCTACCGCAAGTGTAGCTGATAAGTGCGCTGCTGTGCAGAAAATGAGAACTGGAAAGAGCAAAGTCTCATGAGGTGAAACTTCAATTTGCAGCATTGATGTTTTCATCCTATCTCAGCATCATTTCTTGGCTTTCCTCCAGCTGAGAAATGTCTGAGCAGATAAGACAGTCCTGAAAATATATGGTTTCTCTTTTGATAGCAATGGACACCTCATGAGAAATAAATGCAACACCACTGAATATTATTCTTTGTGTGGAAGGCTAAGAGGAATTAAACAGCTCCTCCTCACTTGGGTTGCAAAAGTTATGAGTACAGGAAGCTTTGCCCCTTCACATGCCTATCCTTCTCTGCCTCAAATTTCTCTGATTCCTTTCTCACATTGCCTGCTGTTGCAAAGTTTCTGCATGTCACAGTGGGAAGGCATGTGCCCCTTCCTTGCAGCCAAGCAGATCCAGTGCAGCCTCCCTTTGGCTGCCTCCAGCCCACTTGCTATGAGAGCTTCAGCTGCTTTGGGAATCTCTTTTCCTTTCACTGCTGCCATGTCTCCAAACTTCGCATGCTACCCATGGTGGTTGGGCTGAGGTCTGCTGTTTGTCTGTGCTTTCTTGGTCCTGGTCTTTAAAAGGAGGCCAAAGAAGGAAAGTTTGGTCTCTCAAGCTTTTCCCAGCTATGTAAAGTTAAAGAATGTATTACTGAGATCTAATGAGTTCATATATGTTCCTAAGAAATAGGAGCCTTAGGGCAGTCCAGTGTGTGCCCAAGCCCTCTCTGCTTTTGGCTTTTGTGCTTTTGGCTACTGTGAAAGAGATGGATGGGTCTATGGTGTTCAGAGACTTACTCTTTTGCAACAAAATTGCGTGGCGAATTGTTTGTTTAAAATAGGTTTTATCTCTTGGAGCCTATTACTCCTGTGAAGTGCTCTGTACAAGTAGGTAAGTGGTGATAGAAGGGCAAAGCACTTAGCTCATGCCAAGGGAGAGATATGGAGCTCAAAGACCTGGGCTTTGAACTGCTCTTTTCTCCTTTTTAAAAGTTTGTTCTCCTTTCTGACTTTGGCTGCATATTTGCCAACACTATGTGACTCTGCAGGGTCAAAAGGAATGGCAGGAAGCAGATCTGACTCTGAGCCACTTTTATGTCCATCTTAAGCATCTTATCAGGGAAATGGGACTGGCCCGAGTCCAGAGTTAGAGCAATCTGAATTCTGCTGCTGCCTAAATAGCTGGATATTGGTGGGCCAAGTACTGTCAGCCCTCTCAAGGTCCTTCTTGTCCTTACACACCAGTCACTGGAGGGGCTCATTCAGGAGCTGTCTTTGTAATTCCTAACTCTTCACTTTCTGCTTTTGCTGGAAGTGACCCCTCTTGTGCAATTTCTGTGCTACAGAGCACCCTTTGTGGGACTGAGCTTCTGAATTCTTTATACTCTCTGTTCTTTCCCCTCATCATTTGGAAGAGCTCCAATTAGGTGAAGGTGATCCCTTCTGATGCAGAGTGGGTCAAACAGTGAAAACAAACAGAACTTCAAAGTGGTTGTGCCACATCCAGCCCCATCTGGGCTTAGTTGGCGTCATTCCTTCTACAGTTCAAAATGGGTAACAAAAATGACTCTCTGGAAAAGTCAGCTTTCTCAGTTGTTATGAATTCCAGTTCTGAATCCTCCTTTTAAGAAGTTTATGATAAGATGATTATTGTAAATAAGCTTCCCCTCTAGCAAAGAATAAATCATCAAATAGGCTTTGTTTGGTGAGATCTTCAGTAAAGGAATGTAAATAAATATGCAAACAGAATAAACTTCTTTATCTGATGTGCTGAGCAGAAAAGGCACAAAGTTAATCATTTAGGAAAATAAGCTGGTCTGCTGTGCTTGCTTCAATAACAGGCCAGGAAGAATCTGAGGGAAACAATCTGCTCTAGCTCCCTGACCCCATGCTTTTTGCTAGAGTCCCACAGATCCAGAGATATCCTGTTTATCAATCCAGAGGCAATGCTGTCTCCTGAAAGAGATGCCCACCAGTCTAGATTTTTGTTTCTTTTCCTATGTACAAGTCTTGTTCAGTTCAGAGATACATGCTTGCAGCAGAACAGGGATGTCCTATGAAGCTGGCTGTTACATCTCTTTCACCTCCTGGGAGTTGTACATACATGAACAGTAATCTGAATTTGTAGTATCTTAAATTTTGGACTCCGTTCTTGTTTCCACATGAGAAAATTCATGTACTCGTGCATATGATCATACATGGGTGTCAGTCCACCACTGCTCAAAGAAATCAGAGCATGACTGTTTTGATCTTCATCTCAGCTTTTTATTGACTTACACGGATTTGAACCAGTTTGAAATACATCTGGTTGGAATATGA